GAAGAAAAAATTGTCTGAGATCGACCCGGGAAAAAATTTTCTATAGAATGGGCCTGTAGAATCCATAATTTCAAACAGTTCCAAGATTGGGCTACTAGTTCAAAAGTTACAGCCCTTTGAATTTTCTTTCGAAATTGATTTCTAGTCTATAACTTTTGATTGAGAAGTCTGATCGAAAAAAGTACGAATTGTTTTGGATTCTACGCACCAAAATTAATAAGAAAAAGTGTTTTCCCGAGAAATTTTGGTGCAGTCGATTTTTGGCAAAAAAGGAAGGTTATACACTGCCTTTTTTTGAGCCCCGAAAAAAAAATTGTCTCAGATCGACCCGGAAAAAAAATTTTTCTTATAGAATGTGGCCTGTAGAATCCATAATTTCAAACAGTTCCAAGATTGGGCTACTAGTTCAAAAGTTACAGCCCTTTGAATTTTCTTTCGAAATTGGTTTCTAGTCTATAACTTTTGATTGAGAAGTCTGATCGAAAAAGTACGAATTGTTTTGGATTCTACGCACCAAAATTAATAAGAAAAAGTGTTGTCCCGAGAAATTTTGGTGCAGTCGATTTTTGACAAAAAAGGAAGGTTATACACTGCCTTTTTTTGAGGTTCGGAAAAAAAATTGTCCCAGATCGACCCAGAAAAAAATTTTTCTTATAGAATGGGGCCTGTAGAATCCATAATTTCAAACAGTTCCAAGATTGCGGTACTAGTTCAAAAGTTACAGCCCTTTGAATTTTCTTTCGCAATTGGTTTCTAGTCTATAACTTTTTTTTGAGAAGTCTGATCGAAAAAGTACGAAGTGTTTTGGATTCTACGCACCAAAATTAATAAGAAAAAGTGTGACAAAAAAGGAAGGTTATACACTGCCTTTTTTTGAGGTTCGGAAAAAAGTTGTCCCAGATCGACCCGGAAAAAAAATTTTCTTATAGAATGGATCGAAATGGAAATTGATCGAAAAAGTACGAATTGTTTTGGATTCTACGCACCAAAATTAATAAGAAAAAGTGTTTTCCCGAGAAATTTTGGTGCAGTCGATTTTTGACAAAAAAGGAAGGTTATACACTGCCTTTTTTTGAGACTAGGAAAAACCAGGTGTCAAATTCTTGACAGAATAGCTTCCTAGCTGAAACCAAAAATTGCCAACATATGTTTTTTTACGCATGCATTTTGTTTGCTTTTATTAGAGGGACGTACCATCCAAATTTCGTTAAAATTGCTCCATAAATAAGAAAGTTGGATGTTGCACATGCGCAACACTATTTTTTGCGCATGCATTTTGTTAGCTTTTATTAAAAGGACCTACCATCTAAATTTCGTTAAAATTGTTCCATAAATAAGAAAGTTGCATTTCTGCACATGCGCAACACGATTTTTGCGCATGCATTTTGTTTGCTTTTATTAGAGGGACCTACCATCCAATTTTCGTTAAAATTGCTCCATGAATAACAAAGTTGGATGTTGCACATGCGCAACTCGATTTTTTGCGCATGCATTTTGTTTTCTTTTATTAGGAGAACCTACCATCCAAATTTCGTTTTAATTGTTCTATAAACAAGAAAATTGCATTTCTGCGCATGCGCAACACGATTTTTGCGCATGAATTTTGTTTGCTTTTATTAAAGGGACTTACCATAGAAATTTCGTTTAAATTGCTTCAGAAACAAGATCGTTGCGTTTTGCACATTATGCAACACAATTTTTTGACTTTGACAATTTTTTTCTCCGTTTTTTGATAATATAACCCGGCCCAATTTTTTGTAGGTTGTACACAGGAAAATAAGGTCTTCCAAATAATAGAATAAAAATTTTAGGTTGCTATTTGAAAAAAAAAGTTCGATGCCGTTACGGCGCTCCAAATTTTTTTTTCAAAAATCCGGCCCGTTATTTTTCTGTTCGGTATGCCTAAAACATATATACAAAATTTCAACAAAATCCGTCGAGCCGTTTTCTCAGAAAATTGCCAACAAACGTACGTACGTACGTACATACGTACGTACGTACGTACGTACATACAGACGGAAAAAAATTTTATTCTTTAAAAGTTGCTTAAAATGGTCTAAAACGTCGACATTTGATGAAATTTTGAAATGTTCAAAAAACGGCTATCGCAATAGCTACCTAGCACATGCTAGGAAGCTAAAAATTGTCTCAGATCGACCCGGAAAAAAAATTTTCTTATAGAATGAGGCCTGTAGAATCCATAATTTCAAATAGTTCCAAGATTGATTTACTAGTTCAAAAGTTACAGCCCTTTGAATTTTGCTTTCGAAATTGGTTTCTAGTCTATAACTTTTGATTGAGAAGTCTGATCGAAAAAGTACGAATTGTTTTGGATTCTATTGACGTTCCGATGTGACCACACGTTTAATGCTTCAGAAATAGATAAGGTACTCACCAATAATCCTATAGGACTCGAAGTACCTAATCTCCCATCGAAACAACCCAGTAGAAGCCGAAGAAAGCTGTAGAAGCAGTTCGAGTGAATTTGATACCAGAATTAATAATAATATATTTATCATGGTAATGTGTGGAGCACTTACATTGGTCATTGTAAAAAAAGATATATAAGACATTACTAATACAAAAACATACATATTACCACAAACAGTTCGAGCCAACATATAACACAATACATATTAAAAAGTGTGCAAGAGTGAATTCAGAGCTGAAAGTGTTCTTTACTGCCGATCGTTGTAAATTCGTCGAGGGAGTAGAAAGCCTTTTTGAGTAAAAAAGACTTTAGTACCTCTTTGAATCTTCGCATTGGGAGTTTCCTGACGGCTTCCGGAATGCAGTTGTACAGGTGCTGAGACTGCCAGACAGCACCGTTTTGGGTTGTTCGCAGACGACAGAAGTGGGTGTAGAATTGGCGGTTCAAGTTGCTGAACTTTACCTGCAACATAACAATAATTAGGTCATTGCATTGTAAATAAGAAAGGAATCGCACAAAATTCCTCTAGGAACGGTTTAAAGGACATGTTGGACAGGGATAGATAAACTCGTGAATACTGTTCTGGATTAAAGAAAAAAGGAGTAACTTTCTTGGGGTTGAAGAAAGATAAGTTCATAAATATTTGCAGATTGTTACCTAAAAATTAAAGCAATGGTAACTCATTTACCTAATAACTTGACGATTTGTTACAATGGTACCACTTGTATGTAAGCAGTTCCAAAACAAATGCAACCACAGCACAACAGCAACCACCACCAAAAATTATAAAAAACACGTACAGGTGCTCTAATTTCAATGCTTTAACTGGAACATAATGAACCGGTTCATGCAGAGATGCCTTTATATTTTGCTGGCTGATCTGGTATATTCCCGATTCTTTCAATTGTGCAAGAATTGCGTTCAGTGTCCTCATGAAGTAATGGCCCTTTCTCATTACGAACGAGTTTTCAATTACGTTCAGCACAGAGGTATCTTCTATAACGTCAATCGTTATATTATTGTACATCCATCGCAGGAAATACAAATCGACATCTGCGATTATTGCGGCGCACTCACGAAATATTAACGCGCGTTCGTGAGGATAAGGCCTTACGTCCATGGGAAAATAGCGCATTTTCCGCTTAATCTTCATGTAGGTATCGTTCGCGAGGATTTCGTTTAGGAAAAATGTGCGGTAAGTGTCTGGTGCACAAATCTGGAGATCAGAATCCGCCAATTCTTCCACGGTTTGCACGGACGTCGAGTATTTTTCTACGGTCAATAATTTAAAGAGGTTGGACGTAAATGCAGTTTGAATATGTATGCAATAAAATAAAATGGATAGGAGGAAGCATTTAAACATACGTTTCTTTGGCAGCTTGATCACACCGACACCCAACCAGAGAGCTGCGACATTTGAAACGCTTCGAAAAGTTTCTTTATTTTATGAGTGCGATCTACACTTAACAGATACAACCACCACACAATCATTTTCAGTGCAATAAAAATAAGGACGAGCAGCCATGTTTCCGGTTTAAAAATAAATCCCAGCATCTGAATCAGCGGTATTTTTTGAGGAGGAGGTGCCACAAAAAACATTTTACTGGAGATAAGCGTCGAACTTTCATCAAAATGTTGCCAGTGATTTTCTGATTGTCGAGTGATGGCATACAACACCAAGTCGTATCTTTTTGATATCGTGAAAATATCACCGTCAATTAGTTCGATACCTAGCGAAAGCTGCTCATGAAGAGTTTTAAGGATAAGAATTATGGAATGGCAACGGGTTGGTATGCAGACCTTTTTGGCTTGCACAAGCAATTTAATATTTGGATTGACAAAGTAAACTGGGCAACCGTGAAAACTTCGTAAATCTTTTCCGAAAGTCACACTTAGCTCCTCGCTACATACTTCAGATTGGAAGAATTCTGCAGTCTTTCCACATTTGTTACCGTAGTGAGGATTACAAGTGTAAAATACAACCTGCTCGGTTTTATAGATGGCAACAACCGCATTCAAAATGTTGTACCTCCACAAGTTCATAAACACTTCTGTTAGATTACTGGGAGGTAGTGAAATCACAAATTTTCCTGTAGGCGAAACGCTTGGATCCCAAATGGCGCTCGAATTCAGGCGCTCTAACAATTCCGACAGAGATTTCGCGCTCTCCGCCTGTATTACCCAATTTTTCGCGTAATAGTTACCCGTTAGGTGTACTTTTTTAAATGGATCAATCGCTATCAGAGCATTGTGAAGCAGGTGGGAGGTATAGTGGTCAAAATTGTCCGAAACCGTATACACAATTTCGTCGTTCGCAAAAATGTGCCGCGCCAATCGCGAAATGCAAGTTAGAGTCGAGGAATTATTTGCGCCTTTTAACAACTGTTCGCTAGGCGAAAACAACCACGCACTTAGTACGAAACACAATTTTATGAAAAACATTTTCGTTCTTGTTTACGTGCACTTGATGTGTGGGCGTCCCGATCGAATTTAACAAGCGTACTGAATAAACTCACATCGATATTGTTTATAAAAACGTACCCCAAGCCCAAGTTTTTCACACAACTGACATTACAGCAGGAAAGACCAAATGCAAATTATTATAGACTAGTGTGTCTATTAAATGAATTAATATTTGCAATTATTTTCTTTACGTTACAGATTATTCTATTCTACCGATCCAATGCATTTAATTGTTTTTCTTACCTAGATTGTGGACATTTTTGACCCAAGTGGGTGAGGTATTACTAAATAAGAATATTATGTTAAATGGGTTCCTTCTAGGGTTCCTTTGAGTGATTGACTTTAACAAAAATATTTAACAGCATGACGGAGACTACCCCTTTAACCGCTTTTGGTACGAATTTTCAATTTTTGTTGAACGGTTGTCATAGAGATATAAGTTAATATTCTGTAATTTTGTAAATTTGTAATTTGCCAATCGTCAAACCAGGGTAATTTGTTTCTGACTGCACCGTCGAAATTAAGAAGCGTGCGTCAACATGCAACTGTGGGGCATTTTTAAAAAGTACATTGAGGGATTTAAGATACTCAAAATGCGTGCTGAAATTGTCACCAACCAAACCATACTTTCCGAAATTGTGGTGCAAGACGGAATTTCTTTTGTTACAAGTGCGGCCAACCTAACGTAACAGTACGGGACTGCTCGTGCTCAAAAAACTAGACGTCAATCCTTATAATTCTAAGCCCAAATCATTAATTGGTGATAGCTGGCACTTGTGGTTAAATACTGTCGCTGTTTTATAAATCAAATTCATTCAATCAGATCAGTACAGGGTGGCCATTTGAAAACGAAGCGTGCGGACCTCAAAACATCCACCAAAAAATTCTCGGACCCGTCAATATTTTATTCAAGGGGGAACCTTTTTTTTTGCTAGTTTCGCCCCCCCCCCTGAGAGCAAAGCCGTAGCGGGAGTGACAAGCGCCCCCAAAATTTTAAATCGAATGGGTGGTCGAGTGATACCTTATTTTGAAGGTAGTTTTATGTGGATTATAAGTTAAATTTTAAATCGTTACTAATTTGCCTAGCCGATACAGGGGCTAATAAAAGTTACAAAAACGTGTCAACATTTTCTTATAAAAAAAATTCTTGTAAATGAATTAGTTAAATAACAAAAATAAATATAACAATAAATACAAAAAAATATTTTAATTTTAATTTTAATTTTAATTTGATCCCTCTCTTGTTTTGGGCCCTCAACAGGCATGCGCCCAATTACAGAGTGACCCGCATAATGCTATTTAGAGGTGCCTCTGCAGAAGGTCTTAAGTTGGTCTATACTACTCCGGTATTTACCTTACGAATTAGGAAAACTGCAGGAAAACCTAATTCGGAGTAGCCGGTAGAATGCTCGGAACTGGTCTAAGGTAATTTTCATCTCCGCCACAGATGAAAAATTCACCTCAACCCAGGTTCGAACACCCGACCTCCGGATTTATAACCCAATGCTCTACCACTGAGCCATAAATCCGAAAATGTTGTTCTACATTCTGAACCGTACTTTTTGTTGTTGGTTTTTTCCCTTTTAATACTCGTTACTATAGCAGCATTTTGAAGTAATTATCAATTACTGTTGTCAGATCATAGTAGTGACGCATAACGCTTTAAAGTTATTTAGTTGCAAAATTGATTGAACAGTGATAATGGTTTATTCACTACTTGCTGAAAGAGTTGATAATTTCTCTTTTTTTTGCGAACAATGAAAATGCTAATAGAACTACCCAGCTCTTTAATCTACAACACCAGAATCGACAGGTCCATCGTAAGTACATTTTGGAATTGGTTCAAAAATTTAGAGAAACTGGGTCTGTGGCTAATAAAAAACGCCAAAAAGGTTTGTTAACACGTAACAATATAAAATTCCCCGTACTTCCCAGTACTTCCTTGTACTTCCTCCAAACTTCCCTTGTACTTTCCCGAAATTCTACTGTAAGTAGACACTGATATAGACTTTAGATTTGCTTCTTGAGTGTTATACGTAATAACGCTTATAACGTGTCCACAAAAATGCATTACATGCCAAATGCGAATGGATGTGAAATGCATACTATACATGAAATGAAAAATTAGAAATTAAAAACTTCAGTGTAAGATACAAAGACAGACTGACCGTTCACCCCAACGATTCTGTGCACCAGCTTATGGACAATAATGATGAACCCAGAAGACTTAAACGTTTCAAACCATCTGACTTACCTACAAGATTTTAACATAAACTGTAAACTGCTTTTGTCAAATACTATACCTACCTATATTATTTTCATAGCATACATCACATATTAAAAATGTAAGGGGAGACTTCGCTGGAATTCTGCCCCACATGTCATTTTGTAATAATTAATTCAATCCTATAAAATACTTATTGCTAAATAAGCTATGGCAGTTTGTATAATTAAAGGAGAATAAAAAAAAAATTAATCATTATTTATTTTCACACTTACCTATTTAATATTTACCTTTGTATTTACATGAGGTTTGAAAGAATTTTTAATATGAAAGAAATTAAGACATAAATAATTGTCCTGCCAGCATTTATTGCAAAATTTTATAATAAAAACATATGTACGGAACAATAATAATATTTATAGATGGATACTTAACAATACTAATTTATCGGTAATCACGCAAACCGTTACCTAAAAGTATTCAGACTCCCATTAATAATTGAAATCTGAAAATGTGATCTATCGAAAGAAAATATTATCATCATTGTGTCACTTCCAGTTTTAACAGCTTTTAAATAGAACACCCTATATTTTATTTCCGTCATCTACATGAAGATCTACGTCGTTTGATACCACATTTCCCTATACCCAGCATCAAAGGTTTTCAAGCTATTCAAGATTTTTCAAAATTTCTGTTTAAATAATTATTAGGTTAGGGATTGATTTTATTGATATTTTATGTGATTATGTAACAGTACATTATATACCAAGGTAGAGAAGTCTAGTATTATTGCCTAAGCACGAAGATTACACCCTGAGGCGCTTGCGCCGAGGGATGTAAGGTGCGTAATAGACTTCTCTATCGTGGTGTCTTAAATTGAGTAGGATAACATGGGCTATCTTTGTTATTATTATACTTACAAATTCGGTTAAATTGGCAAAGTTTACGTGTAGTCTTTGATGTTGATGCATATTCCGATGCGATATTTTGAAAAAAATAAATTCGTTTCGTAGTAGATAATTGGAAAAATGCGAAAATCGTTTCAAATAAAAGTTGCAAGATTCGATCGGATAAATTCAACGGATATTCAATAGAATTTTTTTTTCAAAATGGCGGTTTTAGAGATATTAACATCAACTTCCTTGTTTTGAATGGACGCCATATTGGATTTTTAAGTCACTCCATAGAGAAAAAATTACAAAACCAGTGATACTAAACATTATTTCATTTGGGAATCAACCTTGCATTTTTGCCTCGAAATTTACAATGTATTTCTTATGGCAATAATTCCATGGCCGATTGTGATTGAAACCAAATTCGTTCGTTAGTTGTCTCGCTAGCTGGTTTTGTATTTTTGTCTCTATCGAGTGACGTAAAGGTCAAATATGGCGTCCATTTAAAATAAGGAAGTTGATGTCAATATCTGGAAATCCGGTATTTTGAAATCTTTTTCTACACTCATTGAATTTATCCCATCGAATCTTATTTCAAACTTTTTTCGATAGCTCTGTGTGTTACTAAAATATTTGAATTTTTTAAAAATGGCGATTTTTCATTTTTTATCAATTACCTACGAAACCATTTATTTTTTCAAAATCTCGCATCGGAATCGGAATATCCATTAGCATCAAAAACTATACAACTGTTCCAATTTAACCAAATCTGTAAGTATAATAATAACAAAGATGGCCATGTAAGGTATCTACTCAATTTAAGACATCCTGTATACTACTTCTTCCACTACTAGTAACGGGCGATCAAAAATGAGTTACTATCGAATCGCCTTTGGAAATTCAAGTTAAGTACGATTTACCATGTAAACAAAAATTCCAAAGGCGACTCGACAGCAACTCATTTTTGATCGCATAGTACTTGACGAGGTACTTGAAGTCCTCTAAATTAACAGATCTATATTGTAGACTGGTTCACTTTTTGAAGATTCTCTGTCCTAGGGGCATTTGAGACAACATTTGGCCAAATAGGCTTTTTATACTAATTGGTACCTGCTGAACACGAATATCGATGTTGGCACCTCGAAATCTGAACAGGAAGTCCAGAATTCAAGATGGCGGCCAATTTCCGATCATGTTGATATTTTCACTCATGCGACCGATTTTTTCGATCTAAAAACGGATTATAATGTTATTCCTGACGGAGGTACGGCACGATAATAATCGTGACCAAATGTTTAAACAATGATTTCATAGTTTTTCTAACCTGACAGTGCGTAAACGTGGAAACCTTTTTTTCATAGTACTATAGCTACTGTTTAAATTTCTTCACATCGTATAATTATTAAATTATTTCTGTTTTGGCAAGCATTTTAGTTCCTGTGCGTCGTGTGATAGATATCCGCAATGTTTTCCCTTATCTCACATTTGGAAGAACTTCTTTTCATTAGAGGAAAACAAAAGAAATCTGATCGAGTTCTTGTCGCATCATCTTGAAGAGGCCTCATTTGACGGCGTACTGGTGATTGCTGGAGGCTTCAATGATGAAAGAAACGTTTTCTGTAACCGTCAGACGATTTTTAAATGACAATTCAACTCATGTATAAAAAATCGCATAAGCCGCAGTGAAATTGTCACTTTGACAGCGGCAAAAGTTACCTGCAACTTTTCCAGCGACAAATGCACTAGTGGTTTTTTCACTTATTCATTTTCGAACCAATTATCGCATTATCCTTTCCCATATGACTAGTTTGACGTCTGTCAGTAATTGATTAGTTATGCGAATTTCTTGTTCGTTAAATTGTCCTGCCGAATTACACTCGAGGTTTGTATTTAAACCGAGTAAATTTGTGTTGTTGCAATTCAAATCTGTTGCCTTTTAGCAATTGAACTCGAAAAACTGTCAACCTAAAAATGCTCCACCTGCGGTGTCGCATTTTTATTAGTTGACAGTTTTTCTCGTCTAATTGCTAGGCAACAGATTTTCATTACCTAAACAACCCAAATTTACTCGGTAAAATACAAACCTCTTGTGCAATTATAAGTGAAAAAAATGAAGGGAGTTCAACTATACTGCGGTGTTTCGGAAGATTCTTATTTTGCTAGGTATTAATTACCGTTCCTCAGGATATATTATTATTTTAAAGTATGAAAGCCATTGTTTTAAAGTATTTAAACAATGATGAAAGCATATAGAAAAGTGAATAGAAACTTATTAACACCTTCGTTATTCTCATGGTGTTAGGTCAATCGTCTTCTAGAGAATTAGGTAGTACAAATCAATTGAGCCTTGCAACATTTACAAAGTTTTGACGAGCAATTCTATTTACAACCACAAAGGACGATATCTAGAGCAGCCTTCGGAATTAATCTAACGTTGGGAGAATGGGAATGTAGCTATTTTCAATTCTTTCCCCCAGGAAATCAAGGATAGATAAGGTAGATCATAATTTACAAGATAAAAAAAGGTCATCTTGAGATTTACACCTGATATGCCATAATGATGGAAATCAATGAAATGCTAGAGAAGATTAGATGGAATCCCAAGAGAATGGAGTTCAGAATTGTTAGATCTAAAGCTTCGCAGCTCCTGAAACCTCGAAGTTAGGAAGAAGGAACAAGAATGTATCTAAGTATAGCGTTTTTCTAGTATCCGCTTCCTTGTGAAAAACTTCTAAGGAGGAAATCTGTGTCGTCTGACGGTTACAGAAAACCGAGCAGAAAACTTACGCGATGTGAAGAAATTTAAACAGTACTTAGCCATAGTACTATGAAAAAAGGGAATCCACTTTTACGCACTTTGACATTTTTACATTTGGCAAGTTCACTGGCGGAAAGTACTGTCGGCCAGTAAACTTGCCACGTGTAAATGCGCGAAAAGTGCCCGTTAAATAGAAATAGGGTAATAAGTTTACTGGCAGAAAGTACTTTCCGCCAGTAAACTTGCCAAATGTAAATTAGGCTTTACAAAAACTATGAAATCATTGTTTACTATTATTATCGTGCCATACCTCCGTCAAGAATAAGATCATAAAATCCGTTTTTAGATCGAAAAAATCGGTCGCATGAGTGAAAAGATCAACATTTTCGGAAATTGGCCGCCATCTTGAATTCTGAACTTCCTGTTCAGATTTCGAGGTGCCAACATCGATATTCGTGTTCAGCAGGTCCAAATCAGTAAAAAAACGCCTATTTGGCCAAATGTTGTCTGAAATGCCCCTAGAACCTGTTAAAACGCTATTTTTTATAAAAGTGAACAGAATTTTTGGTTTATTAATTTAATATGTCAATTACGTGGGTAGAAGTAACAGTCAAGGAGGCCGTATTTTCTTCTGAGTGCTATTGAGATATTTTCAAAGAGTAGTTTCGTTCGAATTTTTTCGAAATGTGATAGTTGTACCACAGATTTAAATATAGTATATTTAAATCTGTGGTTGTACCTATGTAATTTCTCTTGAAATGGCGGATGGTGGCAATTATTCATTTTAGAGAACTTATCTGAACGTTTATTGAGCGAAATTTCAGGTTGTGATTTCTAAAATTGACAGCGTGACAGTTCTCATTATTGACTACTGGTTAATAATGACCACATTATTAACTATTTTGAACAACTGGCGAGAAAGCCTGCTTTACAAGTGGAAAAAAGGTTAATAATTATGTTATCAGACGCTAGTAGTGAAACAACAAGTTTTGATTTTAGGTATCTATATAGATAATCACAATCATAGGTGTTGACTTTTTTGGAACGAGGCGAGATTTATGCACTCGGAAATAACTACTTTATTACTTTTTAAGTGTTTACCAGATTTTACCTCTTCGGTCACTTTCTGTCACATTACGCATCATATGAAAAAATGAGTACTTCCTCGTTACTTCCCCGTACTTCCCTGGACTTCCAGTACTTCCCCGAACTTCCCCGTACTTCCCTGTACTTATCTGTACTTCCTCATAACTTCCTCCATTCTGTACAATTACTTCCCCTGGTATCGATATATCGATAACCATCGATATTTCGATAATTATCGGCATATCGATAAGTAAAATATATCGATCGGTAAGTACCCGATACTTATCGATAGGTGAAAACAGTTATCGCCCATCCCTAGTTGTGGCGGTCTTCAAAACTGAAAGATCGGATTTCTAGTTTCTAATAATTGCGATGATTGAGATGTATTCGATTTTCATTGACAGCCTCTAAAACGAATAATCGAATATTAAAGTTCCTAATTTAATTTCGTCGTCGCGTCTTGATCAAGTTAAAATTGGCGCGCCGTTAACTGACAGGAGGGGAATTCTATTGAATCGCGTAGTCCCGAACAGCTGATTTTACACAAACACACGTTTTTTCTTCCGATTGAGGAAAAATTGGAAGTAAACACAAAGAAACGGCGAGTGCTTTGGAATTTTTTTTTTTTTTTTTTTTTGTTATAGTAAAACCTTGACATGTTTTCGAGTTTGTATTCTTGGAAACGTCTGTCAGGTGTCGGTAGTCATTTGAGTGGGATAATTAAACGACAGCTGCTGCCGGCGAACGTAGTACAAAAAGCGGGATATAGAAGGAGAAGAGTTCCGTTATATCGTGCCTTCTCCTCCTCTTCCTCCCGCGCCACCATCGCCGAACGAAATTACGGTATCCGCATAGGCAGCGCGTTTGCGGCGTTTCAATCGGTTGCTGTGTCAGTGGGACGACGACGTCTACAACTTGGCGGCGGCGACGGCGTAAACGTGAAAGGTTTTACAGTTAGTTTTAGTGGTTCGTCGAGTGCTAAAAAGACAAAGATCGAAGAAATAATGCCGGAGGTAGTACCGTACCAGCGTCTACCAACGTCGGTGTTGCCTAAACACTATCAGCTCACATTGACACCCGATTTTACGACGTTCACTTTCAAAGGAGAGGTCTCGGTCGAAATTCAGGTAGGCATTTCTAACATATGCTTTTTTTACGCCTTTCACGTTTGCGACAATCACTCCCCCATTTTCGTTAACGACTCACTTCCAACGCGACCAATTCATTGAAAGGGAAGCACAAATTTATCACTTAAACGCTTGTGTGGGACACAAACAAATTATTATATTTTAAGCTCTACAACAAATTTATTATGCCCACAACGCGTTGCATAAGAATCGTACTTTCTCTACGCTCTGCCGGGAAAGTTCAGTTCACGCGGAAACAGCTCGCCCGCTTATCTTTTTTAACAGCGATAAAAGAGCACCAAAATAGTTTGGATTTTTCGTTCAAGGACACAATAAAATATTATTTTACTGCCGATGACAAATTATGGATTTTTTCGCCCGACAGTGGCGTGCCGGATTGGTTTGGCGAGGGATTGTTTTGAATCGATATTGATGCGCGCGCGAGTCTTTCGGCGCATTTGCAAAAGAAAAAAAGTCGATCTGTCCGTCTGTTCGGCGAACTATTTTAGATCTTCATTTTCAAAACTGCCAACAGACACTCGCAGCGAAAAAGCTGTACTGGGAAATCACTTTAGCCCCCCCTCCCTCCCCAAATTATTTGGGCCTAACCCTGCGTACAAAAATGTTAGATATTTACCTATTGAAAAAAACATGAATACTAACTTCCTATTATTTCCATAAATTTTTGTCTACACACAGGTAAATAGAAACAAAACGAAACGACAATAGTTTAACATAATATATATTATTATGCATTATCAATTTTATTTATTAAATGTCTTTTAGGAAAGTTATTCAGTACAACCAGTTGCTAATAAAATTATACATGGTGTCCATTTTTCGAGTGCCACTGTGGGGATCTCACTTATCTTAAGAGATAGAAAGTTGGTTAAATGGGGGCAAAGTTGCCAATTTTCGTGCTGAATAAGAATCTGAAAAGACATTTCAAATATCTTCAATAGTTTTGAAGATATCTCAAAAAAACAAAAATTTCTGATTTTCGTTTTTATTTTTTTTATGATAAACGAATCGTAGTAGACATTTCTAATTAACACATTATTCGGACACCTTTTAATGGAGATTTCAAATATGGCATCCTGTTTTTAATAACTCTCCAGATGACGGAGAAACACGTGGCAACTTCAGTTTTTCTTATGGGCGCCATTTTGAATTTTCACAAATTTGGGATTACGTCTTTTTTTCTCTTTACAACGATATATCACACATGGTGATTCAGTATCACATTTTTCCTAAAAATACAATTTTTAATTTTTTGAGAAGAGTGCTTTGGAAAAACAAAACGTTCTTTTGTTGTGAACATTTAGGTTTATGTTAGTTGTATGCGAAAATGCCTTTTTCAAGTGCAGATCAAAGAGATATGATTCAAATTTACTATACACTTCTCTTCTCATCAAACTGCCCACATGACTGCTGCAACATACTTGCAGCGTTATTCAGAGCGGCAACAATCTAGTTTGAGGTATTTTTCTTTGCTGCATAAAAACTTGGGCGAATATGGTTCTTTTAAAAGATGTAGACAGCAATATGGTGATAGACCCAATGAATATGAGCAGGCAATTTTGCAAGCGGTTGAGATGAAAATCGAATTTCTACTTCTCTGACAACGCTGTAACCAGACAAATGGATCAAATTGTCAAACTTTTGTTGACAACAAAAGAACGTTTTGTTTTTCCAAAGCACTCTTCTCAAAAAATTAAAAATTGTATTTTTAGGAAAAATGTGATACTGAACCAGTATGCGTGATATATCGTTGTAAAGAGAAAAAAAGACGTAATCCCAAAATGTCAAAATTCAATATGGCGCCCATAAGAAAAACTAAAGTTGTCACGTGTTTCTCCGTCATCTTGAACGTAATTAAAAACAGGATGCCATATTTGAAATCTCCATTAAAAAGTGTCCGAATAATGTGCTAATTAGAGATGTTTACTACGACTAGTTTATCATAAAAAAATTAAAAACGAGATTTTCGTTTTTTTGTCATATCTTCAAAAGTATTGAAGATATTTCAAATTTCTTTTCAGATTCTTATTCAGCACGGAAATTTGCAACTTTGCCCCCATTTAACCAACTTTCTATCTCTTAAGATAAGTGAGATCCCCATAGTGGCACTCGAAAAATGGACACCGTGTATACCTACTACTAAGAGTTTTTTTCTCGTTTTTTTTTTAATATAAACAAATTATGCCCTTCGTTTTCTTACTGCCCGGGCAATGGACAATACAAACAATAAATGGAATTGACCGGCCTATTAGTAGTACTTTTTTTATTGTTCTGATTTCTTTTGCAGGTACCCAAATATTTTTGATTATTGCTTAATAAATTAAATTTACATGTTTTTCATAATGATTCGTCTATTATGAGTGCTGTAATTGTTGTGGTCCATCCGATGTTTATGTTTCCTTGTTTTATTTTTTCAGAGTTTAGTTAATTGTAATTTGTATGTGTTGAGTTGGGTAGATTTATTTTTCGTATTTTGTAAAGGAACCATAATTTCCAGAGGGGGCCCAACCTTGCCCTGCTACGGACCTGCTTAAGTCACGTTTGTTGTTAGCTTATTAAATTTTCACTTGGAATCTCGCTTGATTTTAAACATTGAACGCGAAGAGTGTACAACAAATAGTTGAAAGCAGAGATCACAAAGACGCACTTACCTACTAAGTCAGACAGTACGTCAAAAATATTGGGAATTTTATGGGATTCGGATCAAGATTGCCTACAGTAGGTTGCAGATATAAAATATAACTCAAAGGTGACCAAGCGAGTTATCTTATCCGGCTCGAAGGACCATGTTGAACTCAAGCGTTTTTGAGTAATGTTATGTCAGTTTGAAAATTAAAATAAAATACTTAAAAATGCACTGTGAAAATTTGATATTTGGGTACATACATATGTACTTACTTTGAAAATGTAAACAATTCCAATTGCAATACTAATACTAAAAATTGTATTATTAAATGTCCTTTCTGATTCTGCAAAATTCGTATGAAAATACCGTTCGACAGTTTTGTTTTTAGATGAAGAGCGTAATCGCCAAGTTTCATGAAGTTCTAACGATTTTATGGTCGGACGAAAATGTCTCGAATTTTCATAAAACGAATTTTAAATTCGTTATTTTCATGTTGATAGCCCCAAATATCAAATTTTAAAAATTTTGAAAAAAATTTTTTAGCGCCTCTGTTTAGGGTGCAATATCTTGGGGAGGAATTTTGGAAATAATGAATCAAAACTCAACGTTTTTAAAATTAAAAAAAAAATGTTCCAACACAATACGTGAGTAGTACGACAATGAAAAAAATTGTTAGGTTTCCAATTATTTTTGAGTTTTCTGTACGCCCTTTTTTTGCAAAAATTTTCTCAAAATTCTTACCCCAAGATGGCGTATTATTGAAGGAGGTGGGAGGAGGAATTCTGATTTTGACGCAGTTTGGTATTTTTGAACATGAAAATAAAGAATCGGAATTTTTGAAAATTAAACAAAGGGTCGACTGCGGTACTTAGCACGACAACGAAAAAATATTAGATTTTTGGAACGTGTGTTCACCCCCTCCCCCATTTTCAAAATGTTTACTTGGCACCACTAAAGGCATGCGTGCGCCAAATCTGAGACCAATATTGGTTATCGCATGTAAAAGTTATGCACGTCTTACTTTCAAAAACAGCATCTCGGGAAATAATTCATGGGGGGCCTTCCCCTTCAGACAGCGAAATTTGATGGCCGCCTGGCACACCTTCAAGCTCCACCTATTGCAAAAAATTCCAGGACTTTAGGACCATTCCCCTAAAAGTAGTTCATTACGGCAAAAGTGGGTCCGGACAGAGGGACGGACAGACAATAGTAGATTTTTTTAATTTTTAAACAAATGCACCAAAAAGGCGCGATAAATAATTTCAATGTCTTGAAAAGTTCTAGGCTAAGGTAGGTATATTTAGTCAAATCATTTTTTTTACGTTCACTGTACCGTGTGTCCCATTTTGGTTGAGACTACCGTGTATCTCAGCTGTTTTTAAAGATAGAAACTTACGGTTTTCGTGACCCTGTGCCACTTTTTTGTGAAACTTAAAATACCACAAACAATCAATCTAACTCCTTTGGTTTCGGAGATTTCACAAAAAAGTGGCACAAGGTCTCGAAATCCGTAAGTCTCTATCTTTAAAAACAACTGAGCACTTCAGTCTCAACTAAAATAGGACACACGGTACAATGTTGTGGTGGTTTGACTCACTCTGTATGCACAGGGTGGTTCAAATTTCGACTCACTATTGGTGTCTCCGTGAAAGATGCAGTGTCAAATGGGGACAAAGTTGACCCTTTTTGTTTTTTGTGACCAAAAAAACACAATTGACATTTTTGTAAAATCTTTAAAAATAACCGAAAAACGGTCGAAAATCTATGGACCCTTTATTTCGGAGAATCTGAATTATCAGAATTTTCATAACTTTCTTATTTGTTATGGACGCCATATTGGATTTTTACGGAATGATGTAGACAAATTCATTTGACTCCAACGCCATCATAGCCATATTGATTCAACAAGATCTAGTTACCCATAAATATTCTGTTGAAACAAATGCATTTTTATGACGGGATGAAAGTGTAAATAAATTTCGGAAACATCCTGTACATTTGATTTTAAAATTTTTCTTGTAAATTTATGTCAAAGTATGACGTCATTATTGTACGTTTTTTGTCCTCTATCTCATTTCGTAAAAATCCAATAGGGCGCCCATGCGAAGTAAAAAAGAATGGAGCGTTGGTAGGTAACAGATTCAGATTTTCCGAAAAAAAGTACCCATAGAAGGTACTAACGGGAACCGTCTATTTCCGGCCGTTTAAGCTGGGGGAAATAAAAACGAAATTTGACATTTTCAGTTTTTCGGTGATATCTCAGAGATTGTCAAAGATTTTTCAAAAATTTCCACAAAAGGAGGCAGCCCACACTGTTTCTCTCGCCGTTACGGAGATCCCAATGGTGAGGCAGGAATTTATCGCTCCGCATTTTCGTGGGGACTTTTTCAGGGCCAAAACGGTAAGTATAAAGTTCCGTTATTAACGAGCGTCATGATTTTGCACCGTCTGTCTCTCCGTCCGTCTGTGTACATGATAACTCGCGAACGGTTTCGAATTCTATTCTCAGTAATACGTAGACAGTAGTCAAGGGGACTAACTGATTTGGTCAATACTCCTCATCCGGAAGTGACCCTGTCGTATCGGTTCGATTTAGTTATAAAACAATGTTTATAATAATAATAATAAACTGGTTCAAACCAATATAAATAACGAGCAGCAATGTCTACCTATTACCATTGAGTAATTAAATTCACTGGGCGCTATTACTGAAATCAGAATTGGAAAATTCGAAACCGTTCGCGAGTTATCATGCACACAGATGGACGGACGGGCGGATAAAAAGTCCAAAATCATGAACGAGCTAAGTCGCCCGTTAATAACAGACTGTTTTTTTCCGACTTCCGGTATAGCCTTGACCTTAACTTTTTCTTTTTAAATGCGACACCCTGTATATTTTCTGAAGGAACGAATTCATCTGAATCGAATGGGGCCGGAGGGGGGGTCTTCCCAGCGACTTTTCTTAGAGGTAATTTTTGAGATGAAATAAATTTTCCTTGCGAACTTCGCTTGCAAGAATCTTGATGCGGATGAATCAGATTTAGAATAAGCCTTATTTAAAACGTCGACGGTTAATTTGAATTACAGAAACTGTGTAGTGCGGACACTGTTCAAGGTGACGCTTTGTTGCATTTGTATGTCGGAATATAATTTTGATTGACGTATCCATCCTGCTTGTCATTCAGATAGGCTAACGTTTAAAAAAAAATGAATTGAAAATTAGGATCAAGACTGTAGGAGTTCACGTAACACCCTGTATAACATTTTTATAAAATGAAATTGTTTCTATATTTGGTTTTCCTTCCTAAATGACTTGCAAGTACAGTTCGAGTCGTAATTGAAACAATTTTATCTTTCTAGTGACTGATAGCGTAGCGATAAAAAGTGTATGACAGTATGACTCATCAATGCAGCGTTAATCTAATCTTGATTTGTCTAACGATATAAATTGCCGCGCCTATTAATTCTACAAATGGTAAAAAGTAAAATTTGCCCTAAATAGTTATCGTTGATCATCAGATACTAAGAATTCCAAAGTTGCAATGGAATTGTAAACAAATTAACCGCGATATCCAATTAATGCATTGCAAATATGTAAATTATTGTCGTTTCCTACTAGATTATGCATTCGCATCTCGTTAGATTTGCAGAATAGGAAAGAATAGGACATAAAAATTTTCACGACAATCAGTCTCGAGTTCTTCGCCGAAATAAATTGGGTGTATTGTTTCAGATTGTAAAAGAGACGGACAAGATCGTACTTAACGCCCTAGATTTGGCTGTGCAATCGGCAAATTTAAAAGAAGCGCACACTAAGCATGTACCTTCCAAAATATCCGTACTGCCCGAAACGGAAACCGCCGAATTTGCGTTTTCGCAACCGATTCCGCCAGGCGACTACACCTTGAACATTCAATTTACGGGGGAGGTGAACGATAAGATGAAGGGCCTCTACCGGAGCAAGTACGTTAACCAAGAGGGCGAGGACCGTTACGCCGCCGTAACGCAATTCGAATCGACGGACGCTCGCAGATGTTTCCCGTGCTGGGATGAGCCCGCGCTTAAGGCGACATTTGACATATCGCTGATAGTGCCGCCGAAGCTGGAGGCGCTGTCGAATATGCCGGTGAAGACTGTCGGGAACGTCGGCGATTTGGTCCGTTACGATTTCGAGAGGACGCCGATTATGTCCACGTATCTTGTCGCGGCGGTGGTGGGCGAATACGACTACGTGGAGGACCGTTCGGATGACGGCGTCCTGGTGAGGGTGTACACGCCGCGCGGGAAGAAGGAGCAGGGGCTGTTCGCCCTTCAAGTCGCTACCAAAGTGTTACCGTACTACAAAGAATACTTTAATATCGCTTATCCGTTGCCAAAAATTGATTTGATCGCCATTGCCGATTTTAGCGCCGGTGCTATGGAGAATTGGGGTCTCGTAACTTATCGTGAAACGTGCCTTCTAGTCGACCCCGAAAATACGTCGGCCGTACGGAAACAGTGGATCGCTTTAGTCGTAGGTCACGAACTCGCCCATCAGTGGTTCGGGAATTTGGTCACCATGGAGTGGTGGACGCACCTGTGGCTCAATGAGGGATACGCGTCCTTCGTCGAGTTCCTGTGCGTCAACCACCTTTTCCCTCAGTACGACATTTGGACGCAGTTCGTTAACGACATCTACATAAGGGCGCTCGAGTTGGACTGCTTGAAGAACTCGCATCCAATTGAAGTTCCAGTAGGCCACCCCTCGGAAATTGACGAAATCTTCGACGACATCAGGTGAGACTGGCTTCCTCTTTGCTATTTACGATTCGTTGCCGTTTCAGCTACAACAAGGGCGCGTCTGTCATCAGAATGTTGCACCACTACATCGGCGACGAAGACTTCCGTAAAGGCATGAACTTGTACTTAACCAAACACCAGTACAAAAACACCTTCACCGAAGATCTCTGGGAAGCCCTGGAGGAGGCCAGCAAAAAACCAGTGGGCGCGGTGATGTCAACGTGGACCAAACAGATGGGCTTTCCCGTCGTTAAAGTTACCTCGAAACCATCATCCGACGGAAAAGGCGCCGTCCTTTCGTTTACCCAGCAGAAATTTTGCGCCGACGGCAGTCAACCCACCGAAAGCTACATGTGGATGATTCCCATCTCCGTTTCCACATCCGCCAACCCCACAAAAGAAGTCCTTAACACCGTTCTACAAACCAAGCAAATGGAAGTATCCGTAGCCGACGTCGATCCGCAGGGCTGGATTAAGATCAATTCCGGCACGATCGGCTTCTACCGCACCCAGTACCCGCCCGAAATGCTAGAACGCCTAATTCCCGCCATTCACGACAAATCGCTACCGCCGCTCGATCGATTGGGCCTACTCGACGACTTGTTCGCGATGGTACAGGCCGGACAATCGAGCACCGTCGAAGTATTAAAATTACTACAGGCGTACGTTGATGAGACTGATTATACAGTGTGGTCGTCTGTTAGCAATATTTTGACCAAATTAGGTGTACTTTTATCGCACACGGACTGCGAGGAACAATTCAAAAAGGTAAGTTTTGCGCACCTTTCCGAAAATTTGTTTTTTGCAAAATATACAGGGTGTTCCATTATGTCGTTTTGAGCTTAACGCCCCAAGGTTATTTTATTTCAAAGGTTAACTATGTGGGCGGAAGCGGGAGGGACGGAATGTATACGTCATCGAGAATTCAGACATTGACGTTCAACGTTGTTTGTAGTCGCGCGGGTGCTTATTTTTCTTGAGTTATAGTTTATTTGTTTAAAATTTGTTGAATTTTGAAGTGCATAAGGATATTAGGTGTAGATACCTGTTTGGTGCAATATAAAGACATTTTGTTTGTGAATTTTGTGGGTTTTCATTGCCGTGATTGAAAGGTTAGTTCATTTTAGATGAGTGGCGGTAACACTAAAATTCCTCATCCTGGTGTAAATAAAATCTCGGTTTTTACGTTTCCCAAGGACCCTACCGTTCTTAAAAATTGGGTAAGAAAATGTTTCACATCCGGCAGCAAACTAAAACGTGCTGCGCCCTCATTGGTCCAAACGGCCAACCAATGAAAGCGTAGCGTCCCAGGCCGCAAACGTTTAAAAGCAGAGCCACGAACTCTACAAAGTGCAACGCAATTTCTGGTTCGACCGCACTTCAAGAAACAAAAAGCTCTCCACCTGCAGAACCAGGTCGCCTTGCCAGCTCGACCTCCTGCCACACTCCATCAGTCAGAAGACCTGCATCTGGCTCACCCCAAAGACAGAGCTCGCCGTGTGCACCTCGGTTACCATTTTGTACATACTATAAATATACATATTCCATAAAACGCAACAGCATTTTATTTGGCGTCATCCGCTAAAGAATGTTTAGAGTTTTAAATCCCAAAGGCTAGGTATTGGTACATAGGGGTGGTTCCTATTTTGTAGAACGCGGAATTTTATCCATTTCCACCTCTTAAAATTAATTTGATTACATTTTCACAAGTCCTCGTGCAATGTAAAACAGCTTACGCACCACACTCATTTTTTCAATACTTTGATTGCTTTCAAAGGTGAAAGTCGATAAACTTCCAAGATTTCCAATATAAGATCCACCACTATATACATATACCCATATAAATCCAAAAATATACTGCAAACACTAAATGTTTTATACCCCTTTTATTAGCATTGTAACCTATGAGCAATTTTAAATGTGTATTCTGGATGACGTTTTCCCGCCTTCAAAATGCAAACATTCTATTGGTTTAGAGTTACCAGACAACCTTTCTAATAAAACAACCTTATTAACGCCCTTTGTTTAAATCTAAATAAATGCTAATCGCTAAATATTTTCAGTTTGAAAAAAGTTTACTGTGCAAAGTATCGCAGCGATTAGGATGGGAAGCTCTAAAAGGGGAACAGCATTTGGATACTCTTCTGCGCGGATTGGTATTAGGCCGTCTGGCGTGGTTAGACGACGCCAAGACCGTGGAGGAGGCGAAACGTCGCTTTGAAAAACACATAGGAGGCGGACCGCATCTCCCCGCCGATCTCCGAAGCGCCTGCTACAAGGCGATCCTGCGGGCGGGAAGTAAAGATACCTACGACACCATGCTGAAGCTCTACCGCTCGGCGGACCTGCACGAGGAAAAGGACCGCATCAGTAGGGCGCTAGGAGCTACCAAAGACGAAGCTTTACTTGCCAAAGTTCTCGATTTTGCCATGTCGGTAAGCGTTTTCCAGCAAATTCTTCGGACAAACTTAATTGTGTGTCTTTGTAGCAGGAGGTGCGTTCGCAAGATACTGTGTTTGTAATAATGTCGGTCGCGATGACCAGACCGGGAAGAATACTGGCGTGGGACTTCCTCAAGAAACAATGGCAGGAGCTCATCGACCGCTACCAAGGGGGTTTCCTACTGACGCGCCTCGTCAAATTTACAACTGAAAACTTTGCAAGCGAAGAGATGGCCGTCGAAGTGGAAAACTTCTTCAACAACAACAAAGCACCTGGCGCCGAAAGAACAGTGCAGCAAGGTGTGGAAACTATAAGACTTAACGCAGCTTGGCTTGCCAGAGATGCCGACTCTATTCGAAAGTATCTCGAATCATATAATAAATAATAATAATAGGATTGTTTACTTAATTTTTTTGTTGTATAAGTGTACCTCAGTAACTTATGCCAGTGATTGTACCTTTGATTTTTTATGTATTATAATTTTCTTGTTGCAGGATCATGTTAAAGTAATTTATTGATTGATTAATAATTTAATTGGTAATAAATGTTTTGTAGTACGGGATGTCAATGGAAATAGCTTTTAAGAAATCTTTTTTCATCATTTTTGTTGATCGACTATGTATATTTAATTCTCAGTGGAATTGATCTGAAATGTTAGTAAAAAAATTGAACAAAAATTAATATTCATTTCCCTTGCTGGAAGTATACCACGTGTCCACTGAACCCAACTTTTTGGAATGTCAAACTCAAAAAAAGACAGTGTTCAAGTGTCAGAGGTTTTGATAGGGAAAAAATCTTTAATCATATTCAAACTGGAAATAATACGCATTAAAAAAATCCTTCAATTCTGACCGGAACATTTCTTTAGACAAATGGAAAGTTGAATTTTTATCATTTTTTGGGATTATACGAGTCGAGCGATAAGAATAGTTCAGTACTTTTTTGTTCCTTGGTAAATTGTCTACAAAAAGTCATCCCACACTTTTTTCCCTCAGAATGTTAGTTTCTGAGATATTGTTCCTGAAATATGCCAACCCACCTATCAAATTTTGTCTCGAAACGGGTCTCTTCAGTACTATTAAAACCGAGGGGAATACACAGGGTGTTTCGAAATTCGCGCACACGGACTGTGGTATGGTGTTATACAACGAAAACTGAATAAAAAGTTCCTCTACCAATTTTTGATCAGACCTGCATTTTTTTCGATGTGCTAGCTTGTTTGCTAGCAGACGACGGACATTTTGAACAACTGTTACGTCATAATTATAGTTTCTTTTTACTTTCTTTTGTTTTTAAAAATGTGTTCTTAAGTTTAACCAGTGGCGCAGCATAGATTTTTAAAACCGCGGTAGCTCGAAAAATAGCGGTCTAATGGAAAACTGGTATAGGAACTTTTTGTTCAGTTTTTGTCGTATAACACCATCCCATTGTCCGTGTGCGCGAATTTCGAAACACCCTGGTATTGGGAAGCGCAGGTATACGATAGTTCACAACTTGCACAAAATTTCAAAATTTGTTTTCTTATTGATCTGCTTTCGTGTCTCTGACTAGTCTATTCTCGTCTTTAGGTAGCGCTTCGCCTGGTGAACGTAAGTATTGCTAGGGTAGGAACAACTCAAATATTTTTTTTTAACTTTAATTCATATTTTAGCATGGGTATCGCATAAGAATAGGTTTTTATATGTATGTCTCTCCTACAGTAGATATCTTATGTCCCACTAAACCGTGGCTTAAGTTATGGTTCAGACCAACTACACCACAATATCGATTAAAAAAAGTTCAGACATACCCTGTTGTTTGTGGTACCTGGAAAGAACTTGAAATATCCTGGGTCAGGGGCGTCGGCATGTAGAGGCAGAGGACGAGGACGACGGCTGTCCTTACCTACAAAAATAAGACAGATATAGTAATTGAAATCAATACAGTTTTTTTTCTGAAGCAGTTTAAATTTTAGATTACACTGTTCATTTTTACAATGGCCCGTAACCTATGCAATTCCACCTGGCCAGTAAGTACCCAGTCCGCCCCTGTGTATAACCTTCCTTTTTTACCAAAAATCGACTACACCAAAATTTCTCGAGAAAACACTTTTTCTTATTAATTTGGGTGCGTAGAATCCAAATCCATTCGTACTTTTTCGATCAGACTTCTCAATCAAAAGTTATAGACTAGAAACCAATTTCGAAAAAAAATTCAAAGGGCTGTAACTTTTGAACTAGTAGCCCAATGTTGGAACTGTTTGAAATTATGGATTCTACAGGCCACATTCTATAAGAAAATTTTTTTTCCGGGTCGATCTGAGACAATTTTTTTTTCGGGCTCAAAAAAAGGCAGTGTATAACCTTCCTTTTTTACCAAAAATCGACTACACCAAAATTTCCCGGGAAAACACTTTTTCTTATTAATTTTGGTGCGTAGAATCCAAAACAATTCGTACTTTTTCGATCAGACTTCTCAATCAAAGGTTATAGACTAGAAACCAATTTCGAAAAAAAATTCAAAGGGCTGTAACTTTTGAACTAGTAGCCCAATCTTGGAACTGTTTGAAATTATGGATTCTAAAGGCCACATTCTATAAGAAAATTTTTTTTCCGGGTCGATCTGAGACAATTTTTTTTCGGGGCTCAAAAAAAGGCAGTGTATAACCAGGGGCGCACTGGCCCGTGGGGGGGGGCGGGTTGCGATTGCCACCTGGCCTGTAGATCATAATGGCCCGTTGGAAATTTATAAGTATGTGCTGTATTTAGTTTCTTGCGCTATTAATAAATTATTAACACGTTTCTCTAATTGGGGTTGATGTTAGGTTGTTACAAAATTCTGTTTTAATTGAAGTGTTTTACAATGAATTTATCATTTTTTGTCGTAGCATGAAAGTGCTGAAATACAATGATAGGCGACGTACCTGTATGTTTTGTTACTTTTAATTATCAGCTGCAATTAAAAAAAAACTGTATGGTTATTGATTTTCGAGAAAGGAGTACTTAAAAATGTTTTTGTGGTGCACCTCAGAGCTAACCCCCCCCGCCACCTTCACTACTACACTAATACTTTAATGGCCCGTAACCTATGCAATTCCACCTGGCCCGTAAGTACCCAGTCCGCCCCTGGATACAGGGATCTTTTACCCATCGAGTTAGTTTCCATTTCTCGTCGTGTATAATACAAAACTTTATTTTATAGCAGAAGTCATAGAAACCATTAGAAAACGTCTGAAAATTGTGTACCTAGGTATATATTTAATTTAGACGACCAAAATAGCAAATCCAGCAAATCCCGTCGTTTCCATGGAAACAATATTGTATTCTGTTCTGAACATTATTTTATATCGTACTCCACGGCTCATTTCCAATAAGAATGACAAATGTGATTGGAACGCAACGATGCCTACTAAGTGACTGGAACCAAAGATCAATGAGCGTTGCTGGAACTTAGTTCAGTTGTGCAGTCTCCCCACAGTTTCCATTTTGATTTCTTAAATTTCCAACCATATTTTCAAGAGGGTCTTGGTTTAAAAATCGAGTACAAAGAACTTTTCTATTCATCCCATCATCCCAGAATAAACCCTAAACCGGATCTAAAAAAGCAGCAGATCACCTTGGTGTGACTTTACGGGGTCATTGGCCCTATTGCACCGCATACGATTTTTTTTCCGCAAGGAAGGTATCAATAACGTTTTAAGCAATCTCTTCGATATTCGAAGGAGCCTCAGAATCAATAAATCGCTCACATTGATAATTAATAGGTAGGTAAGTACTTTTATTACCACCCCCACGTTGGTGGGTAAGAGAGGTAATTATTGCATTAGGGGTAAAAAACGATCCCCACCTTGTTGAGAGAAATGCACATTGTAAAAAGCACCAGGAATCCGTATCAAACAAAACCTCCCCCAAAATCGGTCCAACTCTACTCTCATTTCCGGCTGAACCAATTGGAACCAAGTTTGGAAACGGATCATGGTCATTGAACCATTCTCGAACCTTAGGTCACTATAAATGTCTCTGTTACTCTGCTAGCCGGAAATAAACGTGCTGTTCTCCCCTTGACAAAACAAGTCCGCATCTCTTTTCATGTATGGAGTGAATCTTTGAAACCTGTGATCCCCCTTTCCCTGCGTGCCTGAGCGAGATTGTTCCAGTAGACTTGGAGAACTCTGCTGGTGTGGCTCACTCGTTCAATGATAGGTACTTATTAATACACAACTATTTATAACATTCCTTATGCGTAGAATTGATTATAGTTAACCCCCCTTAAACATCTTTTTAAATATTGATTCCAACAAAAAAGTGTAGGTATACAGGGTGTTTTTTCTAAGATGGGCCATACGGCAATGTAAAGGCGTTGAGTTATTTAAAATGGGCCATAGGGAAATTTACCTACATTTGCATCAATTGTTTCAGTCAGAGCTTCCTTGCGAATCATCTACCACAGTACTGTATAAATTGTTTCTAAATCAACAAATTTATTCAAATCAGTTACTATGTGATCAATAATGAGTTGCTGTCGAGTCACCTTTGGAATTTTTGTTTACATGGAAAATCGTACTTAACTTGAACTTCCAAAGGCGACTCGACAGCAACTCATTATTGATCGCCCGTTATAAACGTATAAGATTACAAACGGTGCTCGAATTGTTTTCCACCGGCAACCTAAACAATACCCGATACTGATACCACTCAGCTACCTGTGCCCACTAACATCTCAAATCGTGTCTATTCGGACGACTGCGAACAGACTCGTTTAGGTACCCTGAAACTCATAACCTAGGCGATACCTTGACCGTATTTTATTCACAATTAGCAGTCCATATACTGTAATGGTCTCTAAGGAAAAGGATTACAATGACTATTATGTGGACAGCAATAATTTTGAATTTTAATTGAAGTAAACGTTTAGATAAATCAAAATGCGAATAAAATCTACTTGGACCGTCGTAGATAAAATTTTGAATGATACACGTTCGGTATGAACGTTATTAATGAAACTTGTAGAATGTTATCATATCCCCCTCAAAACAAAAATCTCAACAAAAAATTAACCGGTTCGAGTGTTTCTAGCAAAACTGTCACGTCAAGTGGGTAAAATTGGTATTGACGGTTTTCAGTGGGTCACCCTGTATCTATAGTGCTGAGCTTTCGAGTTTCACACACAGACGGACGAACAGAAAGTTCAAATGACCACAATTTAATCAATTGGTCCATGGACTATCGTCATTGAAAACATAACTGGTAAATTCGAAATCGTTCACGTGAGTTACATGTACAGACGGACGGCGGACAGACCGAAAGTCCAAAATCGGTAACCAGGCCGGATCGCTCGTAATAATTGGAAAAAGGGGGCTGGAATTTGGAAAGACTCGTTCATATAGAAGCTAGCAGAAAGAACAACAGCAAGGGGAATACCGAACATTTCACCTATTTAGGAGTTACATAATTTTGGCCTCCTCATTAATCAATGCTCTAAATTAAAACATAAATATTTACAGGGCTGGATTTACCACTAGGCCCACACAAAGCCCGGGCCTATAGGAGAGCATCATTTCTAAGGGATACCTAGCTCATACCTGGTAAAAAAAATTTTTAAAAAACCTTTTGTGCAGATGCCAACTACAGATGGTTGCGCGTTTTGAATGTACAGCTTGTCCCATTTTTACAGTGTAAATAAATAAGTGATTTTTTAAGAACACTGTATATTTTTAGTTCATTAGATATCATTTGTTAATCTCTAATTGCAACCCACCGTCTTTTTTGAAGTTACGAAATAAAATTTGACCATATAATGACAATCCGAGTAAAAGGCGACACTTTGATAATGAGAAATGAGATTTAGTGATACAGGGTATTCACAATAAAAACATTTCTGAATTCTAAAGTGCTGTAACTTTTTTTGTAAAAAAAGAACTATTACTATTTAATTTAGCTATTCGATAGTCTATACTGTCTAACATATGAACTAGGATTTAATTACCAAACCTGGAGTTAGTCATGTTTTTACCCATGGTTTGTAAAAATATCATTCAACCACAGAATATTATGTTACTATAGCATTGGGAATATTGATATACACTGTGCCCAAGATAAGGCTGTCTTATCATGGGGATCACCACAGCCATAGAAGATATACAATGATCAAATTAGCCTAGGGAAAAGTTGCGCAATTAAATTAATTAATAATTAACTTTTAAAGGCTTTTATTTGAAACTGCATTAAAATCTGCTAGTTATAGATGGCATAAATGAGTACAAAAAAATGATTACATTAATAAATAAACTAAAAATGAACAAACTATTTATTTCATTTACTGTAAATCGCAAAACTAAGTATACATCATCTCGGCCATCGAGCTCATTTTTTTTGGTATATGCACGAAAGTTTCAAAATAACTGGCAAGTTCGTCAATTGTAACATCGCACGAAGGCGTAACGGTCATACGCGCCTGATGTGAACACGTCGTACTAACACTACTTTCAGATTTCTGAGGGGACCGACTTTGGTCGGGTCGAGCTTCCTGGAAACTTTTTAACGAGTAATTTTGTACGCCATCGTTTACGTTCGCGAGGTTTAGCTGCTGGCACGCATCGACAATGGCACGGAAATCTTTACCGGTACTTTTACTGGATTGTCCGAACACTTTTTTGTCGTCAATGTTTGTGGCGGGTTTACTATGATAGCACTTTGTAATCAGTTTTAACACAGGCTCGCGGATGATTTTCTTATGGCTCCTCTTGAAAGACACATCCTGTTTCAGTAATAAGGGGGATTTCTTACTGCAGTTGCAGCTCGGGCCGAACAGAGATATGCTGGACAGAGATTTCGAACGGCGTCTCCTAAGGAAGGGATTTGTGTCAGGTTGCACCATCGTCTTCTTCTTTTCGGCTTCAATTTGTAACTTTTCCAAAGTTACACTCAGGTTTAGATCTTCTTGGGACATTGTATGACACTAAAATTGAACATTGAAACTGGGTCAAATTCGATAAAGCGCCGTGGACTTACGTCGATTTTTTGGGCAATACTGCATTCTACTCTGCACAAAAATACTAAAGAAGCACGTTCCTCTCTATTTTCAACAATAATATTACAACTGCGTACAATTTTATCTAAAAATAAACAACAATAATGGCGGCACCTGTCATGTCATTACAGTTCGATGCGAAGTTAGCGGCGAAATGAATCACCAATCGCGAATTGCTATACCGGGTAGGTCACAAACCTCTATACAGGGAGGAAGTTTTGATGAGTAAGTCAATACCAGGATTTTTCCCTAAAACCCGTTTGACTATCCGTATGGAAGCCTTTTAACAACCGAGGATTAAAATACTGAAACAGCATAGGTAGAGAGTGGCCCTATTGTGTCAAGTGGAACCACCTTTTTCTGATAAATCTTTTATGTTGGCGTTTCGTATTCAGGGCTTAGACCGTAATATAATTTGCAATACATACAGGGTAAGTATAAAGTTTCGATGCATTAGTATTTTTTATTGTATAACCATTGAATAAAGTTCTTTGTTCAGGTAAAGCGATTTGTTACTTTTGAATAAGTTAAGGCATAAGGCATTTTGTTTGGAATTGCTCCAATGTAATTGGCTGTTTTGATCTGCTGTGGAGCATGGTTTTTTTTTAACATTAAAGTTAAATTCGTAACAGCTCCCAAGTTACGCAAGTATGTTCCTTCTGTAAATGGCCCCTTTGGGGTTTTTCTTCAGCATACGACCGAAGATTTTGGCAAAAATGTATATGTAAGTTCACTGACCTTGCGCAATCCTGTCCAGGCGTTCAAAAGATTTTCGAAAAAGTTCTGCCCGATGTGTGTGTACTGTGTATTGTACATTTTTTAATCCTCTCATGTTCGTATTGCACTCCTGAGCACTTAATTTGAATTAATTAATTAATCTATTTTGAAAATTTGAAAACTACGACGCTACAATCACGACACGTACGCCACAACTAACAAATTTAAAAGGACTGCGCACTTATCACAGCTCGACCCGTTCTGAATTTCCGTGATTCATTTTTAAATAACAGGCTCTGTACACGTCATTTCTCTAATATACGGTACGGTGTAAATGAAGGTAATTATTTTTCTACTCAGGGACTGCAGGGAAAAAACTAAGACCTGTCGATTTTATATTATGAAATTACATCTTAATATGTAAACATTTCATCCCTTAGATTGAGGGTGGCTTGTGATACGTCATTTGAAAGGTCTTTTAGTTGTCCATTCCACTATATCAATCACTTTCACAAAGTGACGTATGTAAACTATTAAAAAAATCGACCAACAGAAATATCTAAGCATTTTTGATTTAAAATCCTTAATTTTCTCTACCCCCCGTTCACCCAAACATTTTGAGAATTTTCCAGAATCACTTTTTTCTCTACCCGCGTTCCTACATTCCGGCACATGGAGGCGAATTTAATACGATATGACATTTGGTCTAATATGTAGGAGGGGAAATGTAAAATGGTTAACACAATACAGGGCAACAGCAAGAATAAATCTCCTATTATCGAAATTATTTGGGGAATGTTTGCGTAATGGTAAACCGGGGACAAATTTTTCGAAACGCATTCTCTATTTAACGATTATTTGGCGTGAAGAAGGATTTCCATTTTTAAAAATAAATGGAACGTTGATAGGAAATCCGAGTATACCCTGTGCACATTTTTTGAGCATTTGTTACTTACCGACTTATATTCATACACATATTCACTGTGTCCAAGATAAGGATGTCCACCATGGGGATCTCAACCCCATGTCCGCGGACCACAAGAAGATACGCCAGAAAAACCGAAATTTGCTGATTTCGTCTTTAAATTTTTCTGGTGATATTTGATCAGATGCCAAAAACACTTTCTCATTGGCACTTTTTGAACTCTACAAATTACCGTTAAAGGAATTTCAAAACAACGTTTCGTTTCGAAGAAATCATCAACTTTATTTTTTTATGTTAAAGGTAATTAAAAATATAATACGTATAGGGATAGCTATGAAGAATTATAAAATTTATCATATACATATTGTTGCAGGTGTATAGCTAGTTTTACTATACAGGGTTACCAGACATTCGCCGCAGCATACGAAAACGCCGTTAGCTGCGTGCAAATATGAATTACAATACGGCGTACACTTATATAGTAATGCAGGTTTCGACGCAGCATGGGACAACGAGTTGCCGATGGTACTAGGATTCGTCACTGCTTGTCATTACTCATCGGATAATTCCTGTCACAATTTTGACGCTCAACATGCATGAACCCTCTCGATTTCTTCTACTGGGGTCACCTGGATTCCATTTATGCACGTGGACCGTTTCCGAACACTGCTGCTTTGGAAGATGCCATCCGTGAATGTTCTGCGGGTATCACTCATACCCAACTCATGTCTGTGACTGCAGAATTTGAAAACCGATTGCATTACACGATTCCTACTGGCGGGGACTTATTTGAACACTTAGATACTATAACGGCAGATGCGACGCAATTTCTTTTCTTAGACTGCTCTGTTCTTTTTTTTGTGTTACCGAAGGCTGTTTCTTCTTTAATGTAACCGAAGGATGTATTTTTTTCTTTCGTTATGTTTCCTTGTGCTCATCCTGCATGATCACTTCCCTTTTCCATGGAATTTCTAACGTGTCGGCCGATGCTGCGTCGAAACCTGCATTACTATATAAGTGTACTCCTTATTGTAATTCATATTTGCACGCAGCTAACGGCATTTTCGTATGCTGCGACGAATGTCGGGTAACCCTGTATATTGTTTAACTAATACAAAAAAACTGTATGTAACGGCAACCATCTCATATGCATGCTTTTGTAATACGGGAGTAGTTGAATTAACAACTCCGCATTGTATTAATAAGTAACTTAGATTATTGCAACTAATATAGGTACACACCCTGCCAAAAATCGACTGCACCAAAATTTCTCGGGAAAACATTTTTTCTTATTAATTTTGGCGCGTAGAATCCAAAACAATTCGTACTTTTTCGATCAGACTTCTCAATCAAAAGTTATATACTAGAAACCAATTTCGAAAGAAAATTCAAAGGGCTGTAACTTTTGAACTAGTAGCCCAATCTTGGAACTGTTTGAAATTATGGATTCTACAGGCCACATTCTTTCATTCATGGAGCTTGCTAAAAGAGAACATTTTTCACAAATTCGGAAAACATTTTATCCATTAAAATCTGGAAGTATGGCAAACCATTAATTAGGGAGCACATGATAAAGAAAATCTTTTCAAAGAGACAGCCTTGAGAGTAAGGATAAATTTAGAATGCAAGCCTTAGGGGCGTGGTGCTTACCATTAAATAATTGGATAATCAGTGTGGTTTGAAGCTTTAAGAGTGGTAGAACCAACATAGGAAAAAAGTAAATGAAGGAGAAGATAGGTTGGATATCTGACAATGGGAAGCAATTACAAGTGGAATTTTGTTGTGACGTTGTATGCCACAATTGCTACAATGCTCGTCTGGAATACGCACCGACTGCTCAGTGTTGTTGACGTCGCCACGTGGCCGTCGACAGCAGAGACTAAGTCTCTGGTCAACAGTGCATCTTCCACAGACGAGCTGCGCCAATAAAGTCATTTTTACATTTTTTACTATGCAATTATACGCATCACAGCTGGACACAAACGCCACACTGAAATCCACCCTTAAGATGACGTTTGGATAGGTGAAACTTGGTGGGAAAATAAAAGCGTTTATACAAAGACATTTATTCAGTATATTTTCGATATTTCGTATAATCATCTTAATATAAACAACTATAATTATATACAATGCAACATGGTACAATGATTACTTACATACACCATGATTTTAAAAAATGGAGTAATAAAATTCAATAAGACATTTTATTATCTCTCTCTCTTTCTCTCTGTACCGATGCAAAATAACAAATGAATTCTATCACAAAGGAGAATTGTTTAATGCATTGGGGGTGATAATCAATGCAATTTAACCAAATTTTACTAAACGTAAAATCATAATTTGCTTACATAAGGTGCTACATAGCTGAGCGTGTTAACAGATATCAACTAGACTTTAATGCGACGGTAAAAATTTTTACGGTCACATTAACTGGACGTTCTCAAAGGAGGGGTGCATTGCCATGTGCCTTTAGTGCCACGTACCAATACTACTACTGATTATACAGACTAATCAACATGGTGTTTTTCTTTTCATTACTAAAAATGTAAAACGCGCTAATTATTTAGGCCTAAGTTTTGTTCCTACAATGTCAAATTGTAAAATTGCAAAAGGGGGAGAAATTAATGACTATGTAGCTAAGCTTCTTGCCGTTTGGCACCAGATATATATAAACCTAAACGCTGCAGACTAATTTGGCTATTTGTTATACACCCATTTTTGATTGTGCCTCGCCTTTCGCACAATTCTCGTGAAATTATAAAAATGCAGCCGTCTGTGATTCATTGTTGCTCAATTCGTGCGCGGTAACCACATTTATTTACTTAAAAATTGACTCGCGTGCGAAAATCAAAAAAGGATGTCACTTTATCATCGACCCACACTTCGTTAATTAAAATGGCCGAATCTGCACCCTAACACTCATACCGATCACAAGTTGTATGTTATCGTATTAATTGTGTGCTAGGTATTTGGAAATCACTTTTGTTTTATCAAAAAATTATCTCTGGGAGAAAAAAATTGCTGCTTTTAATATAGAAAATTCACGTCAGATTTTCATAGGTCTTAATTGACAATATCATCCCTCAGTTCACATTGACTAGATGTTAAAAAAATTTATTTCAGTGAGTTTCCCCGCCTTGGTTTTTCCATATACTTAGCACATCAACAGAGAAAAATAGTTTTGTATGTGAAAGCAATGAAAATTCATGTGCCGTCAAGGCAATAATGGTGACTCCGGCCTGCAAATCAGTCTTACTACACAGTAGTATCACAGTCTACAAACGGGAGTCATTTATAATAATTGAGCACCATGGAAGGAATGGATGTATTAGTGAATACCGTCACACTGTCGTTCACCTACTTACCATTGAAAAAGAAAAATGTTCGTTGAAGTGAATAACTTTTATTTCTCGCTATATTAAACTAAAATTATTTATTATAAATAATAAAACAGAGCAGTCCTTACAATTAAAACCAAAACAAACAAAAATCTAACGGAATGAAGTGAGCCACAGTGTGAAAATTAAGGAAGGCAGCGCGCGAAAGCAGACCTGCAGATCGTCATTGCTCGAAACTTTCTTGAAAAGATGTGAACGAGTCTCATTTAATTGCGGTGTAGTGTTCGGGGTATAAGTGTACGCCTTCCACGCTAAAAATGGAAACATCTGCAAGCAAAGTACTTTTTATCACTGCCCGGAGAGAAACTCGACCTTATTAATTACCGTCTGGCAGTTCTAGCAATTTTTTTGGTAGACCATTAAAATATGGATGACACATCGCGTCATCCGCCCCTAATCTGTGCGCAGGATCCAACTGTAAAAGAGCAGTGGCCATAGCTTCACCTTGAACAACGTCGTGCAATCTCGGCCAGTATAAACCTAACTTTCTCGGCCGATATTGTCCCAATTTATGCGGTTTGTAGCCCGGTAACGTTGTCACACCCGGCCAGTCTTCCTCCCCCGGAGTACCCAACACCTGCAAAAACCTCTAAGAACCGGCACTTCGATTCGAATACCAACCAACCTTAAAAATTTTATCCAGTTGGTCGTTGGTATCTCGAACGCCGGGGAAGATTGCCATGCCGGTAATCATTTCGACGAATATACAGCCGACGCCCCACATATCCAAAGAAGTCGAATATTCCGTACTGCCAAGGAGAACGTCCGGAGGCCGATACCACAACGTGACCACCTCGTGCGAATAAGTGTGGCTAGGAACGGATTTAGCTCGGGCCAGCCCGAAGTCGGCTAATTTTAATTCTCCTATCTCGCTAATAAGCAGGTTTTGTGGTTTAACGTCACGATGCAGTACTCGTCTCTTGTGACAGTACGAAAGACCTCGTAATAATTGAAAAAGGAACAGCCTAACGTTACGCGACTCCAAACCGCCGCTATGTCTTTCAAGGTACTGAGATAGATCCGTATGCTGCAATTACCATTTAATTAGAACCGCACCGGTTATAAGCGAGTGCTACTTACCACATACTCAAATACAAACGTGAGAGTTTCGCGCGTATGCACTATATCGTGTAGTGTTACTATATTGGCATGTTTCAGTTCTTTGAGAAGTGAAGCCTCCCTTATTGCGGTAAACGGAGCCCCTTCCTCCTCTTGCAGTCTAATCTCTTTCAATGCTACTACTTGGTTTTTTAAACTTGAAAAGCAGATCATTACATATAATCGATGACCACTTTCTGCGCACTTACTTGCTATATCCTTTGTACACTGTAGCGTAGGACCCTTCACCTAATTGTTCTAATTTAATATAAGCTTCTGATTTCCCAAACGGCGAATCACCCTAAAATAAAAAGAGCATGAACATATTTCTTTATTTTATAACAGATGTTACACTAGCATTTTAATAGGTTTAAATCTTTAACAGTAAGAGTAGTTAAAGGGACGCGGAGCACGAAATAGAATGAAATTCAGAACTATTTCCATGGAAACGACGGAAGAACCCAAGCTTGCTATTTTTGTTTTATAATGATTGGTATGGTTTCCTCTATAAAATAAAATTTTGTATTATCTATACAAGGCGAGAAAGGGAAACTAACCATCCCATTATCGTCTTGCATAACAAATAACTATTAGTTGGGACGCTTTAGTGATAGATGGATGGAAGAAAAAATTAAATCGCTGATCTAATCCAGTACATTTCACATTGAAAATCATTGCAATAAATAACTGAGATAGTAAGATCTAAGAATTTAAATACAGTTCTTCTCAGCTTTGAAAAAAATTCTCACAATTTAGATAGACTACTAAAAGCTTATTTGTGCTAATAACTTTGTTTACTTCATAGAGAACATTTTGCTCTTAATTAATTTAAATTTATTTACGATTTTTCCACAAAAGTATACACGTGGCAAATCCACATTGGAAAGTTAGAATGTAAAATCAGAAGAGAAGCACGGTCCAGCATTCTTAGCGTGGGATTGCGCTTGGGACCATTTGTCCCAACTCTAACTACATTTTGAAATTAGGCGTCTAGTATAAAAACAGTCGCAGATCGCAGGTGTCGCTGTTAAGTGTACACAAATTATGCTATTATATTTTAAGCTCTATCTACCTCATGCAAAAACAAGACAAGTTTTGCAGTGGGCGGCTACCTGCGTGATTGACGTGACTATTTTAATACTAGACGACGTCTAGGTACAAAATTTAGACTTCAAAGTAGAAACCAGAAATTTCGAAATCAAGATCACACCAACAGCCGGCCCGCGTGGCGCAGTTAAGTTGAAGCTCGACTGCGGTACTAAGGGCCCCTGGTTTGAATCCGGGATCGGACATGGATCTTTGTAAATGTATAGTGCATTGCGTTGGTAGAGCAGCCTTGGCTGAAACTCCGCCCACTCAAAAATTAAAGCCAAAAATAATTTAGTATTTAAATATTGTAGCCCATAGATATACTCCTCTCTTACTAATTTGCGTCTATCCTTGTTCCCTACTGCAATGACGCCACTTTTGATCCAATTTACTACATTTTTGCCATGAAATAAATTATCATTTATGGGGGTTTTACTCAAAATATGGCTTTGCACCTCTGAAAAAAGCGCGGAGAGACTTTTAACATCTGGCAGGCCGCATTTTAAATTGATCTATGTCTCCACTTTTGTAAGTTTGAAACGAAATTTGGAGAAAAACCGGCCCCTACCGTTACAGTACCCCCTTCTGTATTTTGAACGCGAATAAAACTGATGAAAAAAAGTTTTCTTCAAAAGTAAAAAGAAATTCTAAAAAATCCCAAATGAAATGAAACACCCTAATCAAAAACTCCTAAACTACTCAAAAAACCGAAAAATGGTAAAATTAAAAAATCCTAAAAAACTAACCTATCCCATCTAAAAACTCTAAACCTATTCAATAAAAAAGATAAAAAAACAAACTTCATTTCGCTTCACTAGACTTCATTAAAAAATAAACTTCACTTCTCAATTTCACTGCTCATTTTATTTTCATAGTTTCTTCTTTTTTCTTCCTTTTCTTCCAGTTGATAGCATTTCATCTCATCTCTTCAACTAGTTCTTCAAATAATTCTTTTTTCTTGAAAACCTTCCAAATTTTCTTCAATTCTATATTTTCATGACTCATTTTCACTCTTCGTATCGATATCACTTGATTGTTCTTCTCTCTGTTCATCTTCGGCTTCAGAAATCCTGTAGTATAAATCTACCCTTCTGGAGTACCTGCTTCTAATTTCCTGACTAATTTCTTCTGCTTCATCAAATTCTTCTTCTTCACTTGGAACATTGTGCTAATTCATCTTCTTTTCTTCCTTTAACTGCGGCTTAATTTCTTGTTTATTTCTTCCTTCTGCCTTTTCTTTCTTCACATATTCTAGCTCTAAACTGGTCGTTCTCTTTACTTGTGTCTTCTTAAGTTTTACATTGAATTCTTGCGCATCTTCTCGAGCGTAACTTCTTCAGCTGGCTCTCCTACCCCCTCCAACTTCTGAAACTGATTGGTTTACTCTTTATGATTTCTTTTTCTTCATCTTCTTCAATTTTGAATTAAATTCTTCTTCTTTGATATTAACTTCTTTAAGTTCTTGAATTTTAATTTGATTTCCTATCATTTCTTTTTTGTCTTCTTTAATTGCTTTTGTTTCTTGTTTTCATCTAACATCTTCGTAATAATTTTGAATATAATAAATTATATTTATTTGCTCCTTGCTTCTGCGACTCTTCTGAGGGACTAGTGGAGCTCCTGATCCCCTCCGTTTCTGTTCATATTTCATCCGACCCCTTCCAATCTTCTCGGTTTCTATTCCCTCGTATCTTCCCCTAATGTCACTTTTTTTTCACTTGTCTTCTATTATCATCTCGTCCTGTTTCTTGACTCGTTCTCGCTAGAATGTACGTTAATTTCGATATTTATTTATTTATTTGTTTAGCCAGATACCATACAGAATGCAAGTATTCCAATTACATGGCACTGCCCTTTCATTCAAAAAAATAACTGGCGTGCCCCACGTTGGACGTCAAAATTATGGCTGTGTGAAATGGCACGAGTAAATTACATCACTCAATTTTACCTAGTTAGCTCAAATTACACAAATTAGAACAACAAACTTTATTTTTAATAACTAAAGAAAAATTTAATGTAATTACTAATTATCAACATTTTTGTCTGATTCCGTCTGTACAGATGAGATAAACGACGAAAAGAAACACGTTTCAAAAAATGGCACAAACGTGTATACAACTGTATTCTTTTTTTTTTTAATTACCAAGACTGGTTCCATGAAGATTGACATTATTGAAGTGGCAGCTCGGATACAAACTTTAATTTCAACGAAGACACAACTTTCCTCCTCTTCTATAACTTGAAACAAATTTCGTAAACACTAACTTTGGACGGCGATCAATGTTCCTGTATCAATTCTTCTTAATTTAACTAACTAACTTAAGATTTAAAACAACGACTGACTCCCGGAAAAATGCGTATTTGAATTTAAACGCAACGGACTGTTACGTACGCTAAATCAATCGAACCGAAACCGCTACGTTAAATCGGCGCCCATCCTTTTTAAGTGTAGACCACCTCCAACCCACGTTTTAAGTTCACTCAAAAAATACTGCCAAATATTGTGGAGCGGTACAGCAGTTATCAGTCAACCAAGTAATTTGTTTGTGTGACGTCATTATTATAGAAATGTTTCAAAAATACTAATCTATTGTTGCCCTATTCCTCTCTCTACTGTTTAAAATAAGTATCATGAATTAGATTAGAAACGGAAGGACTTATTTGTTAGTTTTTTAATACCTAGACGGAAAATTGGGAAAGATGGATTTACCGGTTGCGACAGGTCGTCGTGATCACTTACACCGAACGCCGAAAAACGTTTCGTTCGCCGGTGCTCGCTTCCTGGGTTATTAAGTAGGACTTCCGACTTAGGTCTAGGAGGTTTTCGAGGTCGTAATATCACACGTGCTTCCTCCCTAATGTCGTCGTCCAATAGTTTACTATCTGAAGATACTGACAGTTGCCTTTTCACCACCCTATTGTTGTGCCCCCTCACCGTGTTCCAGTCGGCTGAAACAAATATAATTCGCTATTAACAATCAAATCATTGTCAAAATGACAAATTATTCTTCCATTCTTCCATTTGAAATGACACAAGCAGTTCATAGATAAGAATTATACAGGGTGCCCATTATGTATGGAATATATTATACAGTGTGTCCCAGATCGGGTGGGATTGCATGGGTAACTTTGTTATTATTAAGGATAGAGAATTGGTTAAATGGGCAATGTTTTGCAGTTTTAGATGCTTATTTAAAATTTCCTTTTGGAAATTCAAAATGGCGCATAGGTTCGACGTAAATTCAAAAAAACTAAAATTGGTCATTTCCTTGAATGTCTTATATCATCGAAAGTATAAGAGATATAAAAAAAAGTTTTATATAAAAGTTACTGTCTTTGATACGTTTAATTTAGAATTGATGTCAAAAAAAATTCAAGATGGCTACTTTTGAGGAACATTTACCAACTTCCTAAAGTTAAATAGGCGCCATATGGGATTTTTAGATTACTTGATAGATTTTTTAATTCTCTTTTCAACGAGCCATCATAACATAAGATTGAAAATAAGATACCAGTTATATCAACGGTTTTTATATTTTAATCAAGTACGCGGTGATGAATAAAAAAAAAACAAAACAAAATCTATTCGAGGCAACAAAACAATGAAAATAATTACATCAGATGTTTAAAAAAATCAGGAACGCACTCATGAGAGGGGGGGTTTTTGGCATTACAACTCCCTCCAAAATTTTATATAAGCATTAGGTCTAGAAAAATTTGATTTTTATAACATCACTTATTGACTTATTATCCATACTTATATACCTACAAATGGTGGTATTACTACAACCTATCCCCTCGAAAAAAGTCATGCCATTATCCAGTTAAAGACATTTCAAGACACTTCGCTTTATTTTACACAATGTATTACCATTGATGCATTGTCCCAGGTCACATTTTGTAGGTGGTTTATCCGCAAGAATATCGAAACTAACAGTTTTACCAGTCCGAGTATATGGACAGATGAATCTTATTTTTCTAACTGCGAAGTGTTCAAATCGACATTATGAACACTACTCGTCACAGGAAAACCTACGCCGAAATCAAGTAATAATTTTTTTAATTAATGTATTTTATGGCATAATGGGAAGTCATGTAATTGGACCGGTAATCTTCGATGGATCTTTAACTGCTCACCATTATTTACAAATTCTCCAATAAACTTCCATAAAGGATTTTTCTCGACAACGTATGTTTTGAAGAAAGGGTTGGTTTATGCTACCCACCAACAAGCTGGCTGCTCAGATCACAATTCACGAATTATGTACAGTACATTAAATTATAAAAGTAAGTGCTTAATTAGAAAATAAAAGTAAAGTGGAAGTAGCTACCACTACAATAATAATAATAATCATCAATGGCAACACGTTGCCTAAACTAAACTGTCTTGAAGTGTGTTTCACTAATAATGGTCAGTATTCTAAACATCTGGTGTAATTATTTTCATTGTTTTATTATTTCGGAATAGATTTTGTTTTGTTTTTTTTTATTCGTCACAGACTACTTGATTAAAATACAAAAACCGTTAATATAACTGTTATCTTATTTTCAATCTTATGTTATAATTAATAGCTCGTTGAAAAGAGAATTGAAAAATCTATCAAGTAATCTAAAAATCCAATATGGCGCTCAAGTTGGTAAATGTTCCTCAAAACTGGCCATCTTGAATTTTTTTTTGACATCAATTCTAAGTTAAGCGTATCAAAGACAGTCACTTTTATATAAAACTTTTTTTTTATATCTCTTATACTTTCGATGATATAAGACATTCAAGGAAATGACCAATTTTAGTTTTTTTGAATTTACGTCGAACCTATGCGACATTTTGAATTTCCATAAGGAAATTTTAAATAAGCATCCAAAACTGCAAAACATTGCCCATTTAACCAATTCTCTATCTTTAATAATAACAAAGTTACCCATGCAATCCCACCCGATTTGGGACACACTGTATATCTCGGTTAATATCGACTGTATTAAAAAAAAATCTCTATCAAACGAGCCTAATAAAAAGGTACATTGGCTATTTCAAAACTTCAATTGTTTTTTGTTACTCATCTGTTTTCTGAAATAAAAACAAATTTATATACAGTCGTTAGATACATACCTACATAGTGGGCACTCTGTATACACACACATACAATGATCAATGTTAATTATTTGTAACTGTTATTATTGATTATTGTGTAAATGAATATAAATAAAATGGTTTGGTTTCTAGTTAAATAAAAGAAATAGCTGTCTTCCACAGCTTTAAAGAAAATTGCTACCCCTTTGGGTGAACTAAAAGGGATTTTATATCTTCAATATAAAAATGACGGAGACTCCGCACGATATTCATTATCTGTTGCATATGAATGTAAGAACATACACGGCGTGCGTGCCTTTTCCGGCGGTAGTTTTCATAACCTTTTGTTCGATTTCGTCCTTTTCTTTGCGACCGCGGACGTAATATGCATAAGATACCCGGCTCCCTTTCGCATTTCCGATGCTCCTTTGGAAATCGCAGTACATTTAATCCAAAAACGATATGTAAAAGATCCCCAGAAATAACAAAGTCAAAATTAGAGAAGAGGGTGAACGGTGAATGGCCATTGAAAGCACGCCCTTCATCCTTTTGCTCTTTCCATTAACAAAGACGAGGGAAATTAAGAGCGCCTTCTAATGATCAAAAATGTTCGGAGTACAATTATTCGAACTTGATGCCTACTTCGCGAAATGCATGACAACACCCAACTTTCTAATTAACCCCCAGATTTGCTATGCAAGTAAACCGTCTCTTTGTGCTCGCTTATTTACACCCGCCCTCTTACTGGGGCCCGCACCTTTAAAGGTTTACGGGAAAAAAATACGTACACGACGCGGGGGGATAACTTCCCTTAAAGTTTCGAATTCGGCTCGCCTTTGAGGTAAATTGTAATCCGGAATTACGACTCTCGTTATGTAAAAAAGGTTTTGCCTATACCGTGGCTCGCCTTGTGAATTTCAATTCTTGTGCTCCAAGTCTTTGATTGCAGATGTTGCTAATTAGCAAAATTTCTTCGCTGAGCATTCAAATTAGATGATCGAGAGATGAATGGGCGACTTCTTTCTTTGTCCGTATTAAATGTAGATTAATATCGTTAGGTACGGGATTTTTCTGGCGAAATTAATGCAGATGGAAATGAAATGCGCCAGATTTTAATACAATTGGGTAATCGCGAGCCTGCGTAAAATTTCAATTGAAAGAAACTTCCATCTTCTTAGAATTACGTACCTCAATCAAAGATATATTTAATGATTGACCATTCATCTTTTAATGTCAACGATATAGTGCTATGTGCAATGAAACGCGGTCATTAAGCCACCCACAAGACACTTGTCCAGCACAATGGATTCGAATAAACAATTTATTAATTGACAATGACAAAAATGTAAATGTAAAAAGCTGACAATTTACAAATCTTGTTTGGGCATAGTACCCCGCACGCAAGCGGTCGACAAATGAAATAAGAAATCTTAAAATTACTCAGTTTTTTTAATCTAAAAAACAAACCCTGACATTTAACGAAATCATTAATTAATTGATAATGACTTCTTGCGACTTTTCAAAGATACCGGATGAAGTTTCAGAAATTGTTAGTCTTTGTAAACATATACAGAGATTGAACGAACATGAAACCGACTCCGACTCACCCCGTTGAATAATAACGCAATTCATTTTCTTTGCGAGGGAGGTATAAATTAGAATGACGAATGGCCGTAAGCGGTAATTACTCCAAAATCAACTCGATCTGACCTAATTAGCGAGGTCGCACCTCTTTCCTCGTCATCGTCCGCGCGTTATTTGTTTCGTGTTTCTAATTGGACATTAAAGGGGTGGAGGTTTGAATGATGTAATAAATAGCGCCCGTTATGGTGGAAAACCGCTTGTGACTCATGGATTATCAAGGTGAACGCTCCGAAGGGTTGAAGCGGCGCACGGTGGAAATTAATGGACGTGCACCACCTTTAAATCATAACTTACGATGTTGTATTACTCATGATAGTACGTATATAGTTTGCTTGACACGTTTTATGAAGTAAACAAATGGCTCGGTTGGGAATTGATAAACTTTTCCAGAAGCGAGCGAGAATTTGTGGATTGCGATTTATGTGTTTCGAAACGCGATTCCTTGCGGAAATTAGCTAATTTTGACAAATTATGAAATGGAACGCTATAAGGGCATTTGTTCGTGTCAGTACTTTTGCTAAAACAAACTGAGGCGTTTGGTCAGCGTGACGTTTTCGCAAGACGTTCATAGGAACAAGATGCTCTGGAAACGGCAATCATCATAAACGACTTGTGGGACTCCACAGGTGCAAAGCACGCGATCTGACAATAACCTTCTCCTGAATTATGTAATAAATTCTTATAAACGAATATTGTTTATTTATTTCTTGAGGGAGCGCAATGTCGAAATGAAAAAATGTGGGACTGGGAAATATATCAACGAAGTTCATTGATATCACTGAGGAAAATTAGGTGTTAAAATTGACAATTTGTGTATTAGTCTTTTTTTTTGTGATGGTACGACCCATCATAACTATAATAAATAAATAAATAAAGTACTTAGATAAAAATTAATAGTTTTGCCACAAATTGCAAAATATCACTCTCCACCACTCTCAACCTCCAGGATTTCGCCCGCGGAAAAATGCAGCTGTTTTAATGATTCTTCAAATTTCTAATCACTTATCACAGTTTTGATCTGGAACTAATTTTTTTTGTCAAAAAATATTATATAACCTGGGAAAAATTTTGGAAAAATGAGTGGATGAGAGACATCCGATTTGGAAATAACCAAAATTTAACCAATAAAGAGGCAGACTGCAAAGCAAAACATTGTTAGCTATGGTTAGCCGCACGCAAAAATGGAACAAGATTTCTTATTTTAATTGTCGACCGTTTGCGTGCGGGGTAGTATGCCCTAACAAGCTTTGTAAGCTTTTCTTTCTTTAAGGGATTTTGTTATTTCTTTCATGTAATTCTCAATCAATTATTATGTGTTTTTTCGAGTCCATCGTGCGACCCGGATAGAGTTTTCATGTCAGATTCTTCTTTTCGTGCCCAAGAATTATGTCAGATGTTAATTTTGTGGTTTTTAGAAACTACTAAGTCTCCAAATTATTAATTTCAAGTCAACACTGAGATTTTTTATTGTGTCAAGAGCCGAACGTCTACGAAGAAGATAATTACAATTCTAAATTTAAGGGTTGTTTTGTTTTGAGCTAGCTGGACAGGTGTTCTGTGGGTGGCGTAGTGAACGCATGCCATTGCACACAGCAACATAGAGGTATTATTTCCGGCTAAATAGGAAGTGGAAAAAATTGTAATGTGACTAGTGAATCCTTTACTATTTACCCTAGAGATTTACTTTAAAAAGATCGGTTCATAGATAATCGACCTTTCGGTATTTGTGGTGCACTCTGTATAGGATGTAAGACAAGTGTTTATTGGAAGAGCAGAGAGGAGAAAAATGGAGCTTTTTTAATTTTTTTCAGCAACCATCACACTTATAGTGCACGAGTTCGAGCAAAAATCTAATCTCAAGGAAACTACGTGCTGAGTTTTTTCAATTTGAAATAATAAATGGAAAATCAGACACGTGTTAATTTGTTTCCCACCGAACACACAAATTTCACACAAACTTAATTAACGAACCATTGAAAATTTGAAACATTTCCATACACTTCATCACGTCAGCGAACTTTTTTTCTTGAAAATTTCGTAATAAACATCAATTGAAAAAAAAACTTCAACGGCCACCAAGTGTTTCCAGTTCATAATGAAATTTCAATTTAAACCAGATATGAATTTTAACCATTTCTAATACTCAAATACTGTTTTAGATGGTTGTACAGGTACCGGACCTAAGGAACAAATAATTATTAATTATATAAAATAATTATTAATTATATATTTAATATATAATTAATTAACGAGTTAGCAACAGGCATCCAAAATAACTGTTTTCCAGTTATTAAATGTACAATTTTTGCTCCAATATAAAATATGCTATACAGGCTGATTCAAATTCGAAGGCCACCATGGGGATCTCGGAAACCGTAAGAGAGTAGTTTAAATTTGGCCAAGTTGCGTATTTTGATGCTTAACAAAATGCAGTATTGAAACTTAAAAAATTCCACCTACTTTCGGAGATATCCGGAAAACACTGAACTTTTGCAAAATCGTTTTTATTTTTTACTGAAGTTACTTAAAAAGATATCTCGAAAAAAATACACATTATTATGGCCACTTTTTTCTCTCTACAAAATGCTAGTTTCAAATTTTAAATCCGACGTTTCGTCTCCGGTTGACCATCATCAACATTGTTTTTTCTTATGGAAGTAATTTTTACTGTTTGGGTCATTTGATAGAGAATTCAAAAGAGAGTTCAAAAATATAAACATCACAATTTTTTTAGATTATTTTTCTTTTTTGCCTAGAAAACTTTGTCTTAGACTGATTAAAAGATTGATTAAAAGATAGTGATGTTTACATTTTTGAAATCAGAAAAAATTCTCCATCAAATGACACAAAAAATAAAAATGACTTCCATAAGAAAAAAGAAAGTTGATGATGGTTGACTGTAGACGAAACGTCAAACTTTGCCAAATTTAAACTACCTGGCTATCTCTTATAGTTCCCGAAATCCCCATGGTGGCCCGCGAATTTGAATCACCCTGTATAAAGGAAATGAGCTAATACTCAATTTATAGGTTGCTTCGACTGTGGCTCAGAGTCCCGTGGATATGTAATATTATGAATTTAAACATAATCTGAAAAAATTCAAGATTCCTACAAATAGATTTTTGAAAATTTCTAGGGCTCGTTTTCTTAATCTACTCATAATTACATTTCGTATAATGACAAATCTCAAAGCTTTTGGAATTAATGCCCTTTTTAATCAACCAATACCTACAGATATTAATTCTCAGTTTTGAAAATGCGAATATTTAGTTTTTTAAACAGAGAAAACCTTTTTCTTTTAACTTTTAACTTTGATACCACATTTCCCTATACCCAGCATTTCAAGTTTTCAAAATTTTTGACCTCGTGTTTTACTGCTGTTCTTTTGAACCCTGTACCTATGACTCCGTTAACTTGAATTTCAAAAAATGTTCCAAAATCAATAATACCTACATTATGCTACATGAGAATAATTTAAATTTTGATCGCTCTTTTACAGGGTGTTTTAAAACTAATGGTAAATTTTAATAACTTCAATCCTTAAAAAAGTTGATTTTTCCAAATGAAAAATGGAGGAGGGGGGGGGGGTCGAAAAATCACGAAATATTACAAGGGCGAGGTACTTTTAAATTTCACTACGAATCGCCGGAGGGGAAGGGTTTAAAAAGTTGCTAAAAAACATCACGTGATTAATGATAGTTTCCGGGGGTGTTTGCTTTTATAAATTTGAATTTGCAAGGTTTAAAAAAAATAAGATAACAGTTGAGAATACCATTTAGGAGTAGGTAGTTTTGTTTATTTGTTACAGATATAACATAGTAATGTTTTCGCATGTACAGGGTGGTTCAAATTCGCGGCCCACCATTGGCATCTCCGTAACGGTCAGAAATACAGTGTAGATTAAATGGGGGCAGAGTTGTCCCTTTTTGTAACTAAAAAATAAATTTGAATTTTTTGAAAATCTTTGAAATAAACAGAGATATCGCCAAAAACCGAAAATGTAAAATTTCCTTTTAATTTTCCCTAGCTTAAACGATCGGAAATGGACGGTTCCCGTTACAAAGTCCCATAAGAAAGTAGTAGTCTGTAGCTTCTACATCTAGCCTGTTATGGAAATTCTGATAAGAGACAGATTTTCGGGGAAAAAGTGCCCATAGAAGGTGCTAACGGGAACCGTTCATTTCCGACCGTTCAAGCTAGGGAAAATGAAAACGAAATTTGACATTTTCAGTTTTTCGAAGATCCCAGTTACTTTCAAAGATTTTTTCTAAATTTCGAATGCGTTATTTAACCTACACTGTATCTCTAACCGTTAGGGAGTCACGAATTGAACCACCCTCTACGTAAAAGTTTCATGTCGCTTCAATTACGTTTTAAAAATTACGAATTATGTTGCAATCGTTTTGGAGAATGTCGATTTAGCTTCGCTAATGTTAGCATAATTATCTTCCCTACAGAGTGGATTTTATTATTTGTTAAGGGAAGGGATTAGAGCATGGTGTTAATCGAATTTAAGTCATATTGTAGTTATCGTTGTTTACTAGATAGAGGAGAATTTTCCATAGGTGAGGGTGGCTTTCATTTGGGATTAATATACAGGGTGTTTAGATAATTGAAGGTATCTGGGAGATTTTGTGTACGTAGTTAGAGGGCGATAAGTCCGTAAAATGAGTGAATATCGTATTAGGGCTTATATTAATAATTTGAGTTAGAGAGCAAGTGGGTATTTAGTTTTACGAACCGCGGGCGGTGAACAACGAATGGTGCTCCACGTTAAAGGAGTTTTAAATGGAGGTTGCTGCGCCAAAAAGAGATAACAAGAGGTAAGGCAGGTCTGTCACTGGTTTGACGCTTTCAAGTGGATTATGGATTTGTCCATTCCTGTTGTTATCTCTTTTTGGCACAGCAACCTCTTCGTAAAACTAGTTACAATTCGATTTGCTTATATAGCAAACGACATTCTTTCTAAAATGTTCTCGAGGGTAGTCCGATGTTTCCCGGGGAGAGCTCGTGCAAGTTCACAATTGAAACAATTCATATAAAAGAATGTTCTCGAGTGCTCAAGAACGCTTTAGAATGTTCTAGAACAACCACGTCATATTTCGCGGAAAGATTACGTCATATCGGCCTTCGCCAATGTCTAATCTTTGGCCTAGAAGTCTATTGGGATATTTGGAATGTTCGCTACACTATTATAATGTAAAACTGTAAAATGCAAATTAGAAGAAAACAAGTGAGAAAGTAAGCCAGTTCATTTCTGGAAGGTTTTCGTTCCTTGTAATCAGCGAAGTCCCTAGAGCTATTCTGGTGTGATTAAGAGAAAAAACTCCAAAACGCGCTGTACCTCTAAAAATAAAGCCCTACATTTCGAACTGTGGCTTATAAAAAAAGAATAATAATAACGTATATTATGTAAATAAAACATTCAAAGTTAATCATTATAGTCTTACGGTCAAAAAATCGTCCTATTTTTCGATACTTCTTTGAGAACAGTGCGACTGACACTCCCAAAAGGGCGTTAGATATGCATACAATACAAACACAATTACAAAGCTAACACAAGCAAATGCTTGGTGTAAGATTTGCATGTGGAAACGTCGAAATTAACTATGAAATGAGAATGCCACTTACTGTACTTGAGATCAGCCTTTCCCTCGGGAATGTTACCGTTCGGTTCCAGCCGGTCGAGGAATTCGTCACTGTAACCGTTGTAAGGTAACTTTCCGGAGACGTGGTCCTCTGGGTCTTCCTTGGAGACTGCTGCAAACAAAGGAAGTGGAGCATTAATATTAAATGTCTATACTCTAAGAAATTAAACGTCAACCGTAATGTTCATTTTTCAAGGGTTGATATTGCGTTTTTTTTTTCTTCGTTTGCATTTTGTAAACAAAGCGAACGATTTGTAGAAAGGGGTCTGAGTGACCTATTTATACGTGGTGCGAGCACCGGGCCGGGTCTCTGGAGTTCGGGGAGTTGAACTGTCGTTCTGTGACCCCGTTATCGATCCATTCATCTTCCACCCACATGGCAAAGCATCTCGCAAACTCGAATAAGTGATAATTGCGCCATTGTTACCGCGAGTATTACGAATAGAGTGATTGAGATCCACGAGTCTTGACAGTTGTAACCCGCAGGTGAACCTTTGGCGGCCCGCCAAAAACCGCGTGATGGAGTCAGGTGACGTTTATCCACACGAAAGTTATGAACGCGGGGTGTTTTGTAGCTTAATTGGGTTAAGTGAACCGCGAAATCTATGGAAGCCAAAATAGACAGCCGATAGCGTGTCTAGAGTTTGTACGCGTCTCTATGATCGTGGTTGGGGAGTTGTTTTGCTCGTTTATTAATCGCAACGCGCTTATTTCCGGGTTTAATATAATGAAAATGGGAATTATGTTTGACAAAACAAAACGAATTTCCAAATTTAATTAATTTCCATGTTTTTTCAAGATATATAGAGTCGCGTCGGAGCTCTGTAAATGGGTTCAACAAACTGAAATCCATTGTTCCATATAAAAGAAAAACTATTTTGGCGAGAGCTTTCATTCAAGAGTTCGTCGTGTTTATCTTTTGACAAAGAAATTGTTGTGAACGGGATTTTTTTTCTCTAGTGAAATATTGACAAAGTTTCAACCCAATGAAGAGGCTTTAAGGCAGGCGGCGTGCATGTTAATATACTATAAACCTTCACCCGCTAATTCATTTAGGCTTTAGGGTATCGATAAACTGATCCCTTCTCACGCTGAAGCGTAAATTTGTTTTATGGATATGGGACACGTATAGCCCACACTCCCTTGTTCACAAACATGGTGTTAGTGGAAAGCGCAAAACTGTCATTTTCGTAAAGTAAACCAAATAGCAATAAATAAAGGCGATACCCGTTTAAGGGAAGGACCCGTTTGGGAAAAAGTCCCGAAGAAACTAGAAACTGGACACAAATGAGAGCGTTGAAAGGGGCGTGAAGAAAAGATCCTATAGGGAAGAAAGTGAAAGAAAAAAGTGGAAGGAAGATGTGAAGGAAGAGTGAGTCAGAATTTAAAAGACTTTAGAGAGATTAAGTAAGAGTCATTTTTATAAAGGGTTGCATTTACGATCGTTTCGAAAGTTACCCCGTACATATTTAAATTCAAAAATTAGTAAGAACTATTCGTAAATGTCCTGAAAAACTACCCTTGGATTCTATTAAGGATTTTTACGCCTTTGGAGGAAAACGAAAGACATTATCACGGGCGTATGTAAAGTATGTTTATTAAATTTTAATTCAAAACGTAATACTAATTAAAACAAACTAAAATTAATCAATTAAATTATTGGACGAATTGGTTCCAAAAAAATAGTATTTTCGTAAACCATAGCTTCTAATGTACTGTGTGGTTTATTTTGATTGAGACTGCAGTTTATCTCAGCTCTTTTTAAAGATAGAGACTGTGACACGTTTTTATGAAACTTTTAATATGCACATACAGGGGGAATACGAAAAGTTTGACTTTTTGAGATATATCATAATTATGTTTCTACCGTCACCCATTTTTATTGATTGGTATCGGCTGCCTTGGTTACTGTGGAGTGTGGACACAATAAACAAAACAAAATCTCCATGAAACCATGACCTACTATTTAAAAACAGTAACTAATAAGCTTTTTATTGATTGACATTATATGGTGTATCATTTAAAAAATACTATCTTTGGGTCTAATCTCAGAAACGCTGCTCCAAAAATTTTTGTAACTACGCCACTAGATTCTACGTAAAAATAAATAAAACAGGCGGTTTTTATCTTTTTTCTATCTTACATTGGGAAGATATGACAACATCTCAAACTTTTCACCCTGTATCTCAGATTGATTCTATTTGTGGTATAAAACTTTCATAAAAGTGATACATTGTTTGGTAACCTACGGACAAGGTGCTTCAAATTGAACACTTTCTTATAAAAATACCCTTTATTTTAAGAGATAGAAAAAATGGACCTAGGTGTCTGGAGGTCAATTTTAAAGAGAATATCACCAACATAATCCGGTTCTTTTTAATCGCCTCATAACTTTTTAACTCGCTTACTTTGTTAGAGCACCTTTTTATGTAGAATTGCGTTACACAGTTTTAACACAAGGTGTTTGATTTTTCTTATACGACCCTAAACTACATTTTTTCATATGGACCACCCTATATATTTTGGAGTTTTTGAAAAGAGCGTAAAATTTCCTAAATTTTGATGTTTAACTTGTTACATTTATATTAAATATTGTTTGAAATATTGATTTTTATGCATTAAAATATTTTTACTGCAGATTTCTAGGTTTCTATGGCGATCAAAAGATGGCAGGATTGTTTAAAATGACAATTTCTTAATCATTTGGAAATTTTTATTAGTTCCAAATATTTTTAATTTCATAATTATAACACATAAGAATCAACGAAGGTGAAAACTTATGTTAATAAAACAAATAAGTCATATAATATATAAATAAATAATGTAGTAAACCAAGAAATTGTCGTTTTAAACCATCCTACCAACTTTTGTTCGCCATGGAAACGTAGACTCTAAGAAAGATTTTACCAAAATCAATTATCTTTAATAATAAAATTATGAGGCATTAAACAAATCGACTAAATTCAAGAAACGCCCCCTAACGATTACAGATAGCTGAATTCTGTTTGGGCCAGTGATTTTGTCTTTAAAACTGAGCTCCAGTCACCAAAACCCATTTTTTCTGTATCTTAAAATAAAGGACGTTTCCATAAATAATAGTAATAAAGTATCCAATTTGAACCACCCGGTACACAGGATGATTTAAATTCGAGGACCACCATGGGGTTCTCGGGAATTGTGAGAGATAGGTAAGTAGTTTAAATTTGGCAAAGTTGCGTGTTTTGATGCTTAACAAAATGCAGTTTTGAAACTGAAAAAATTCCGACCACTTACTGAAAAAAATTAAATTTTGCAAATCGTTTGTATTCTATACTGAAGTTATTTAAAAAAAAATTCAAAAAACACATTATAATGGCCACGTTTTCCCTCTACAAGATGCTAGTTTTAAATTTTTAATTCCACGTTTCGTTTCCGGTTAACCATCATCAACTTTGTTTTTTCTTATTGATTCTTCTGAATTTAAAAATGTAAACATCACAATTTTTTGCCTAGAAAACTTTGTCTTGGCTCTTGGGCAGTGTACGTACGTAGTTTCTTGCGTTTCTACGAATAAATAACGCTATTTCTTATGAGAAAATAATGATGTTTACATTTTTTAAATTAAAAAAAAATTCTCTATCAAATATCATAAAAAGTAAAAATGACTTCCATAACAAAGTTGATGATAGTTGACTGGAAACGAAACGTCAAACTTAAAATTTAAAAGTAGCATCTTGTAGAGGGAACGTGTCATTTATTTCAAAATATCTTTTTAAATTACTTCAGTAAAAAATAAAAACGATTTTGCAAATTTCGTTATTTTCCGGATATCTCCGAAAGTAGTCGGAACCTGGGCTGAGGTAAGAATTTTTCATCTGTGACAAAGATGAGAATTTCCTTAAATCAGTTTTGAGCATTCTGCCGGCTACTCCGAATTAGGTTTTCCTGCAGTTTTCCTAGTTCGTAAGGTAAATACCGGGGTAGTATAGAACAACTTAAGACCTTCTGCAGAGGCACCCCTAAAAAGCATTATGCGGATCACTCTGTAATTGAGCGCCCAGACCAAGAGGGATAAGAAAATAAAATAAATGGATATCTAGGACATTGGAGATAATTTTTTTGATTCTGAAACCTTTTTCAATCTATAAAGATTCTTCAAGAAATTTGTTTAGGGAGGCAGCCCCATTTTTTAGCTAAAATCTTAGGCGGAAAACTAATTTTGTTGTTTTAGATGGATATTGGCGACTACACCAATAATTTGAAGACTTTATGCCGCAAATTAGGTTTGGTGTAAAAATGTGGCACCGTTTTGATTTTTTTTAACATTTTGCTTTTTGTTGACACATCACGATCACGAAAACGAATATTCATACCAAAAAAGCAAGCAGTGTTAAATTTGCCGGGTTTTTGTAACCTGGATGTTCTGTCTTTGGAACGGGCGGGTGAACTCGAGCGCCACCAAGGGTACGGCCTTGTCCCTGGTCAAGCTTTGGCGCATTGGTCTCGGAAGCCTCGGGCAAACTCAAACGGACTAAACGACAGTTTCAGGAATTCTAAAGGGCAAGCGACGGCCGGCTACTAGTAAATGATAAAACAAAATTAAAGCGCACTGCAATTTCCCTAAGTTGGAACAGTAAATAATCGGATTCGGTAGCGGTATCTACGGGAAAGCAAATGCAGGAAAGCGAAACAATATCCTCCCCTTATAATTAATTAATTTACAAAATATGCTATTATACAAAAACGTAGTACACAGGTAATTAATAATAATTAGTCCTTGATCATTATAAGTACATGGACAAAAATATGAACGACATTTTTTTTCATATCTAGAGTGATTACGCAATAAGAAAGTGTTTGGGATACGCCAACTGATTACTTTTAATTATTGCTTACTTATTATGATATTTTTTATCCTCCATCCCCCGAGCTCGATTATTGCACAAAGACGTCCAATATAAACTTGTATGCAAAAACCCTTACAACAAGTCTTTATAGTCGATTAAATGTTGTATGTCGTTGCTTTCCACATTTTGGAAAACTTCAAAGCTTGTCGGTTTTACCACGAAACTTAAATAAACCGTCTAAACTACAAATAAACTCTTCTCTCCCCTTTAAATTTCTCAATCGTCA